ATGTTTGATGAATATATTTAAAAGAAAATGGAAAAAAAAATATATATATATAAAGTTGGTGCCGAGCATGATTAACAGTTACCCATCAAGAACAGGTAAACAGAATTAAGGAAAGTAATGGAAGGTAATCGGAAATAACCTACACGTCAATCTTCATACTCCAGGAAGTCAGTCCTTTTCTGTCCCTTTGTCCTGTGCTGACAATGTCTGCAGTCTGACCCTGAGCCAGTCGAGCTTTCCCATACATCATGTCTGTGTACTAAGGCAGGTAGACAGAACCAATGTACGGCAGCAGGCCCCTGATGTCTGCAACCATCGCCAGGTTCAGGGGTATAGGTCTAGTGTACTTGGGTGGGAGGGGCACATCACTGAGGTTGAATAACTTGCAGCTGAAGTTCTTCCCAGGCATCGATCTCACTGGTGACAAGGACGCATCATCATCGTAGGCCATCTTGATAAAGTACCCCGCCCTGTAGTTTAGACCAAAAACAAACATTCGAACTCCTTTGAAGGTGACTGAAGGATCCTGTGCCTTTTGTTGGACAACAAACTCTTAAGCTGATCGGAGTCAAAGAAATCCTACTGCCTCGTCCTCACCACAGGGTAGGTAGCGGTGATGGCAATCTTAATGTTTCAGTATGAGAAGTTAAAGATCACCAAGGTAGATAATCATCCTCCTCAGTGATGCCAAAAGCACGATCACACTCCGTGTATGAGTGACGAGATAGGATACACATGCTGACTGCTCTGCAGTCATCCATAGTGCACCTTGTGGAGGTAGTTGAGGATATATATGTTTTGCCCACCACAGTTGTTGCTGTAGAGCTGTCCAAAGTCCTGGTGACTGTACCTCTTGCTAATCAATTACTTGATGAAGCTGACGATTTTTTGCACAGCCACGCCCACCTCTCACCTCATCCCACACACACAGTGTGGATTTGTTGGTCTTTAGGTTGTGGATGCATAAGTTGTACATCACAACTTATGCTGGTAATTGGCAATACTGATGGACAACTTCAGGATGGATACTGTCAACTGGAGATCCACACAAGATCACTGTGATATCATCATCGTTGTTCTCTTTTAACCTTCATCAACTGCTGACCCTGCAATGCCAAGTCCTTGTGCTTTTGCAGCTTGTTTTCGAGCTGTTGCTTGGTGTTGTATGTGACATCATTGATGGAGGTATTCAGGTATGTCCTGAGTGGCTGGAATGCTATGTTAACCTCCTTGGTAAAGATGGAGTGGTAATATTGGTACTTCACTGTAGACTCCTCAGGCTGCTGTGCAGTCATCCATACCTTGTAACTACAGTATCATAGTACAGTGGATAGTAACTTTGTGCTCGCACACAAGTTGTTCTTCAACTCCAACAATTATTGTAGTGATTTTGAGGGGAATGTATCTCATTATAAACATCTAGTCCACTGGGGTGCTTTCAGAAATCGGATCTGATTATTTTCCTACGGGGGGACACTTTTATGGATGTTTACTCTTGTTTCATCATGGTTCTTTCTGTTGGGTCTTTTTTCAGTGTAAATCAGTGTGATCAGTTGGGTTTAGACCAAAATTTGAGTAAGAAATTGTGCTCCGTCTCATGTCCTGTGAAAAGATTGCCAAATGTCAACGCAGTATTTTTTTATTTATTACTCGCATTTACTGGTACAGTATATATGTGGCACAGTTCATCAGTCACCAAGCTGGCTCGAGAGATGTGTGTGGCTGCTGCCTGTATGCTGTGACATCACATAAGGGGGAAGGAGAGTGCAGCTGGTCAGTTACAGTTCAATGCCTGAATACCACACATGTGTTTACTTACCACACATACACACCCATGCTCTGTATTTTTCTTATTTTATTGTTTTATGGTGTAGTACAGAACAGTAATTTTTTTATTTCTATGCCACATTACAGTATTGTTATGATGAGCACTTGGAGCACAGAATCCCCAGTTTTTCCGACATTCGTCCTGAATTTTTTCCCAGTGAGTCGAAGATCGCTAAACCGAAAATGGACAGTCGTTAAATGAGAAAGGGTATAATAAGTTTTAAATTGAAAAATTGCTTGGTGAACGATAGTAAACCGAGGGAAACCTGTAGAAGAAAGCATGAACAAGGGATATTACAGGTTTTAAAGAGCAGAAGCAGCTGTTATAAAGGTAAATGAAATGGTTGAAGTGAACTAAACGGAACCAGTGGATGTGGCAGTCAAGAATGGGAAGATGGGAGGAGGTACAGTACTGTGTGGGGGGGAAGGGGGTGAAGTGAATGTGAGAAGGGGAAGAGTTATCATGTGGAGGAATGGAAAGCATCAGGCTGTAACTAGTAGGCTTGTGAATGGTAAAGGTGCCAGGAGTGGAGGGAATTACCACCACAGAAAATGGAAATGTGGTGTAAGTGAGACCGCTCTGCACCATAGTGAAGGAAGGCTTGCAAATCTAGCTGGAAAGAAGGAATTGTGAAAGTGAAATTGGCATTATTATGGATATAAAGAGAGAGAGAGAGAGAGCACAAAATAAATGTGGACATGGAGTGAAGTAGATGACTTTTAATAGTTTAGGTTGATGAAATGAATAATGTTGCCTGTGTATTGTAAGGTTGGATGGTGAGGGATAATCAGTGTAGAACAGTTGTTCTTAAAGTGTGGTTCTCGCCGGGGAATGTTCCAAGGGGTTCGCAAGCTATTTTGGATCTCTTAAAATATTTCTGAAAAAATGCCCCAGGTGCAGTCGAATTGTTTTAATTTTCAAATAGATCATTTAGCCATAAAGTGCCAGGAAAAATGATAAATATATATTGTTTGCTGTGAGGGATGAAGAGAGTCAATATTCTGTCAGCAGTTTGGAACCAGAAATCTATAGGCTCGTGTGTAAGCAAAGCCAGTACTACTATTCATCTCAACGGGATATACTGTAGATGGGAGAGGGAGGGTTGAGCGCAGTGAAATTTGTAATATAAAACTGTTAATTAATAATTCGGATACATATATTTGGGTATATTTTAGCATATAAGCATTTATTTAAAGGGGACCATGGGGAAAAATATACTCCTAAAGGAGTCTTGTCGCATGAGAAAGTTTAAGAACCACGTGTTGAGTAAAGGAGGTAATTATGGGATGACTAAGATACATGTGAAGCCTTAGTGAGCAACAAAAAATACCAAGGGCAAATGATCATGGTATTGCAAATTAGTTTATAGGTTATTAAAATGCTTACAGCCTTAGAAAAAGAAATTGTAATGATTACTACATTTTTGTTTTTAACAAGGAAAATTTTGGAATAAACATTCAAGTTTTATCACTGTTAGCATCACACGATTAGTATACGTACTATCCTGATACGTATGTGAATTGGCCAGTTATTGTTAGAAATTTTTAGCTTTTTATTGATCTATTTATTTACTTTTATCATTTATAGTAATTTCTATAGCTTAATTGATAGAACACAGAACATTGGTCCCTTCAAGTGAATTGTTGTATGTTTAGTACCAGACAGTGGAGGATTGGGTTCCTTCCTTGTGCACACTGTAAATGATTAACCATTGTGTGCTCTCACCAGTTGTAGGACAACCCTTTAGTTGCTTGATAGCCTGCAAAGGGATGTGGTTATCAACTTTAAAAACTATTGAAAGAGCTGACAAACCGATCACAGATGTGGGGTAAAAGTGGCTAGAGTAGTAAGAAAGCAACCTGCATCCTGGTTGGGAATAAAGTATGTAAAGGTGGCATGTACCCACCCACTGGGGGAGTTTACGTAGAAGAGGTATGATTTGAGGCGTGGAAGCTTTTGTGTTTAAGGCTCCTTCGGGGAATAATTTTTAGGGGGAAATATGATGGAATTCTAAGTTGTGTAATTTGCATTCATCTCTCAAGACCCAAAAAAAAAAATATTTGGGGAAAATTTATCCTAAATTCTGTATTTCAATTCAAAGCAATATATTTTTTATAAGTAAATGAGACGGTAATCACCCCCGGCCGCCAAAAAAGTGATTTTAAAAACGATGAAAAGCTAAAATAGAGGAGCTATCATGAGTGAGGCAGTGCCTGTGCTGGGCTCTTGTATATACCTTGACTGACTGAGCCGGGTGATGAGGTATTGTGTATAAGGTGTGTGTATGTTCAGTGATGGGCCTTCTCATTTTGTGTTTGGGTAAGTTAGGCAGCGTGGCTTAGCCCAAGCTGCTCATTGCTCTCACACCAACGTGGTGTGTGTGAAGTTGAGTAATTCCCGCACCTCTTCCATGCTAGTACATTATGCATTCAGTCCCATACTGATCCTATAACTTTTTCACTTCGAAGAGGCAATTATGATAATATAACAGGACAAATAAATACAAATATAAATGGGGAAAAATTAATGTTACCACACAAAGTGCTCATGTGAGGCCTTGTACCCAAACAAAGCTCTTGACATGGTCTGCTGGCTCTGCCTATTATGATCAGGGTATAACGTAGTGTACATATGGTTTGGGATCTCAAAGCATTCTACCATTTTCTAAAACAAGGAGCATCTGTCTGCACAGTAGTTGCACTTGCACAACTTAGTAGTTGCCATTACACATAGGAGACTGGACTGTATCATGAAGTAATGAGATCATAAACGATAAAGTTTGACAATTGTAGTTTCTGTATTGCTCCCTGTTAATAAGATAACCATCATCTGTTGGCTCTCAAGAAATTAACCAAAGTACTTGGAAAAGAATTTTGTTACAGCTATTAGTGATGAGGAAAAAATAGGTATCACCAGCATAGCCCAGAGGGTTTGGTTCTTCATGTTTTGTTGCTTAGTTTGAAAATTTATAATCTCGATTCCATCACATGTAGAGATGAGGCTTTTAGTTTATTTTTTATAATTTATTATGTTTAATTTTTTTAAAGTGGCCAGTACATTAAAATAGGAATGCAGTAATATTTTTATTATTTTCTGAAGTAAGGGCTGATATTAGTGTACACACACCTTTGGAAAACTTTTGACTGTAAGGCTTCAATTTTCTTTTTTTCAGGCCTGCCCGACGTGGATCTCCAAGGTGAGGAATGTTTATATATTTACATTTGTTATTTAGAGTTGGTTCATAAATGATTGGATAACAAATGTTGTGAGCGAGAGGAATTAATAATTGGGGTACATTTAGGAGTTGAAGGATGCATATAGGAAGAATGATATGAATTGTGGGATGCATTTAGGGAAGAATGGCATAAATGTTGTGTTGGGCTTACATGAAAGGGTTTGGCTGGTAGTACAAGTTGAGGAATAAATAAAAGCATGGAAATTGATGATGATGATGATGATGATGTGTCCTGACAAAATGGTCATGTTGGGTCTCATTTGTCCAGTTCATAATGTCCTCCATTTAGTGTGGTCCTCATGACTCATATTTGATTAGAAACTGTTTTATGACTTCTCTGCACTTGTTCCATCCCATTTAGTTGAGATTGATATATGATTAATAGAGTATTTGATGAATAATTTTGCCATGAAGTAGGTTGTGTGCTATTTGGGGTAAAAATTTTGTGGGGGGTCCTCACTGTTCATTAAGTGACCTATCATAATACTGAAGCCTCTTTCTAAACTGTTAGCATTTATGAAAAATATTCCAGATATCAAGTATACTGTGTATGAGCAGCAAGAGGCTTCATGGTGTACAAAACTTGCCATTAAGTTGTTGAGCCAGGCAAAGTATCTATAAGGCTGGTCACTATTAAATTTCTTAAATGGATTAACTACAATTCAACAGAAGCACTAGAATTTTTCAAACATCTGGGCTCCCTATTGAGATACTGCTAGGTACACTGAAGACAAAAGTCGTGTCGTGAAATTTGGTGAAAACACACAGTATGCTGAAGGGCTAAACTTTTGGTGCGCTCTGCCTTGTGGTAGGGGGCTCTCATAATGTTTCACAAGTTATATTTAATCTTCGGACAAAACCGCGACATGACTTTTGTCTTTGATTGTACATGAAAGGGAACATACGGCATAGACAAGAAATAAGTAACATATAGTGCTGTATATGTTAAAGAAATTGACAATACAAGGCACTATCAATCCACCTTCATAGACATTTCATAATTGAGTATGTAGATAGTAATTTTTATCCACATATAAATTTCCTTGCATATTTTGGTAACAGTTATCCGAGATAATACTGTTGTAAAGACAAGGGGCACTTCCTATCTTAAGGATGATAGGCTGCCTTGAGTGCACCTCTCCCCATTGTACAGATAGCTAGAATGGTGCCAGAAGCAGAGTAATGATCAAGGGTTATTATTTTCTTTTTCATCCTGATGAGAGCCTTTTCGAACAGTAGTCCAAGGGTGCCATGCTCATCTGTCATTCACACAACTCTGCTTGCTTTGATGAATATTGGAAACAAACTCCTTTACCTTTCCCAAGTTTTGTTCTTCTGCTGTGTTGCAGGATGGCCAGAGCCAGTAGTAACCACCGATTCTTTTTTTTTTCCATTCTCTTTTGCTACTGTAATAGTACACACTAAATGTTTCCATTCATTTGTAACACAGGTGGACTTTTTCACCAGCAAAAACACTACAATAGATGCCATGCTCTCTCTCTGTTATTCACATATACTGTTGCTTAGTTATGTCCATCCCCTCACTTTTAGTGCATCCTTTGCCCTATCTCTATATCTCTTTGATCTTTTCCTCTCCTTCCAACTGGCCACCTGAATTATACTCTTGATGATTTTTCTTTTCCCATTGTTAGCAGACCCTGGTTAATTCTGACATGGTTGTTTTTTGTTTCTGCACCTTACTTCAGTATTCTCTCACATGTTACTTACAAAGAGCTTCAGTTCTGTAGCCTTTGCTGTGTTTCATCCGTGCATCCATATTTCACTCCACATTTTATTTATTCAGCAAATCACCATTACAACCATCTTTGCCTCCTTTGACAATGTCCTCTTTCCTTCTGTTTCTAGGTACACTATTTTCTCACTTTTCCCTCTGCAATAATGATTGAATTTCTTCTCATCATGCCACTCAATGACACTCATTGCTTCCTCCATTTACACTGTTTATTTTTCCATGTCACACTGCAAAATTGTTATTATTTTTTGCTTTATATTTTGGTATATAATAAACTTTCTTATTTATAGATATGATGACTACCGTCGCCGAAGTGAGTCGCCAGCTTTCAAGAGACGTACTCGCTCCCGATCATAGAGGTAAGTCAAGATATTATAATGAGGAATGAAGGTAAAATGGGACTGCTTGAGGGTGTGTATTTATTGGTTCAGCCATACTGTATATATGAATAAATTAGTTGACCATATGCAAATAATATTTATCAATTCACTGGACGTGTTCTGTCTTTTTTTAGTTCTCAGAGTGAAGTTTAAGGAATCATTGGTAACATAGCACAGGAGCTGGGTTATGTATTGTATTTATGCTCTTGACACCCCACCCCCTTTTCTTTTTTTGCAGGGGTCATCCCTTAAACAAAGAAGTTTCATCATTACCTGGGACTTAAGTTTGTAATTGGTTTTGTGAGTTGTGTGCATCCGATCTATGTCTTGATTGTTTAATTTTTAACACAAATTTGATCATCATAAAGGAACTACACTTTCAATGTCATAATAGTGGTTTTATTTTATACATTATTTTTTTTTTACATATTGTATGTACTGTACATGTGAAACTGCCTCTTTTTTTCCATAGGTCACATGCAGGCCCTAAATAGTAATTTATATTAATAATTAGTTGTTCTTAAAATTGAATCTCTATAATGCAAAGTTTCAGTTGTGAAATGTTGTGTTAGTTGAGTAGTATCATAAAGTTTCTACAGGCTTGTGTGAATGTACTGTATGTGTGTCAGTTGTACCTTTCTCAACAATCTGTAACATTTAGTTGAGTGATTAATGGTATAAATTAAATAGGAAGGTAAGGGGTATTTCAAACTAGAGTAAGGAATTCTCAACAATAAAGTTTCACAAATATGAAGACGTGTCATTATCATTTATAGTTTTATTTCTGTTTGTAAAGATCTGAACAGTTTGAAATGAATTTTAACCTGGGGTGTTCTACATTTGAGTTCAATTAAAAGTTAGAATCTTATTAAGAAGTGCAAGAAAGGTACACACTCCACAAAATTCTTACTAATGCAGCAAGCCAGTTGGTTGATTTATGGATCTCATTGTAGTTAATTTAATAAGGGTGACCAAGAATTGGTTATAGTGTTAAAGGTTGGACTGGTTGCATGCTTAACAGTGCTATATGAGTAAGTACGTGGAAAGGGCAGTAAAATTCTCTGTCAAACAGAAGGCACTTAGGCAGTACTAAATTTAGCTAAAAGATGTTAAGGTTGCTTAGCCTGGTTTATATTATCTTATGTTGAAAGTGGAGACAGTATTAAAATGCCTGTTGGTAATGTTAACCAGTTCAGCCCTGTATCACTGCAAAATATATGTAATGAATTACAGGACCCAAACTTCAGCAGAGGTCAGGTATTTGGTAAGTAAAATACAGTCCAAAACAAATGTTAAGTAATGAAATTAGAAAAGGGAAGACCAAAAGAAAATGCAACTAACTCCTTGATGTTGAAGTTATGAATAACTAAATACAATAAGCACAAAAATAATGTCATACATAATGTAATGGTTAAGTTTTATAAGTACAAGACTTAAGGTTCTAGTAGAAGTAAATCCTTAACTGTACATAAAGTGAAGATGCAAGCATTGTAATGAAGTATGGTGTGCATTGCTAAATTTCCTGCTTGTTCTATTGAAATTTGGTAATTTTACTAAGGTTCTTGAGGCACTACTGTGTTAATAAAACTACATTTGACAGTTTTCAGGTCCATTTCTGTGACACCGATTTTTTAATGACGAACAGGTATTTTATATATTGGTACTGTACTGCACTTTTTTTTAGAGAGGGAGTCGTCACAAGTGACCCAACAGAAAATAAGATTAATTATCAGTAAATGTTAAGTCAGTCAGTGCCACAAAATAGGGGGAATTAGTAGCTCTCCTCAACTCCTGTCCTTATTATTAACTTTAGAATTGTGATCACTGTGCCTACATGTACACACATCTAAATATATGGCCTAAAAAAATTGGTGCCATAAATGGTAAATTCTATGAATCCTGTTTACCACTTGAAGCAACTGACTTGGGCTGGATGAAGTAAATATCATCATCTTGTAATTCCTGATTGACACTTTTTTAGCCTCATAAGTGGCAGTGTGCCTGCAGCCATCTATGATATACATACTGTATATGTTTGTCTGAGAGGGACTTTCGAGGATAGACCAGGATATAAGCAAACTGGAGCCTGGTAACAACTTAGGAAAGGAAATTATATACTGGGTGACAAAATTTGATGGCAATCAAACTTCTTTCTAACAAAAACTTTTGGAAAAGCATTCAGTGTGAAATGGAGTCTGATGCAAGTTGACTGTAGCTGCTTTAATGAAAAACTGTAATAGAAGATGGTTGACTAAAAATGTTGGACCAATCAGTCTTTAGTGATGTAGTTATTATACTCTGTAAGGATGTAAAATTTCTAAAACATATTGCTGCTAATTTGTTGATTATGTGGACCATTTTTGTGATATGTGCATGTAGGAAATGTTTTGGCTGAAGTTGGGATCATGCTACCAGATTTCACTTTGGAGTTGCTTTGTTATACTGTATGATTATTCCCACAGCTGTCTTAAGTGTTTGTACATGGGGCTTGATTATTCCCTGCCTGCATTCTTGTATATTTAGTGACAATCTGGTAATTTACATATCCATCATCATTGTAAGGTGACAACCTTTGGCAACTACCCTGTAGTTATGCCTGTATATATATATAATTCAGTCATCAAAGCATTTGAATTGATAGTGTTTAGTGTTTTTGAGTGTCTTGGACACTTTCTGGACAAGCCTTGTCTGGATGCCCTAAATGTATGTTATGTGAATTTATAAATGGTAACATACAGCTATTCTATTACTACCCATTTCTGAAGTAATTATGGTGAGTGAAAAAAATAATATACGGTATTCGAAAGGCTGAAATTAATAACAGAATGCTGAAGCTTTATCAGAATTAATTTTCCCAGAAGACACTAAACCCATCCTTAAAAAAAAAATGCATTTCCACTTTTTACGACAATGGGAAGTGGTGGTAATTTTAAAAACATTCCAGATAACTCGAGGGGGACAAATGTAATGAGTAGCCTTCTTGTAATATTTTATGAGAAAATATTGCTGAAATTAACCCTCTTAAATGCTGCTGTCCCCAATTGAGGACGGGTGTTGCAGACTACGACTGTCCCTGATCAAAATGAATGTGCCAATTTTTCAAACGCTTGATGCTCCCTAGGCTTTAACCACTCGCAATCCACTGTCCTGAGCCACCCACTCATCACTTCCAGCCAATCAATGTTTATCAGTGATGGATTACACATGTCTGTCAACCTCTTGTGGCCACTTGGCCATGCTTAGCACTCCTCCAGTCAAAATTATCATGCAGGGATGGGTCCGAACCTCTGTTCTGGGGCTCTAACACGTTCCCACTTGCCAGGCTAAATGTTTGGATCGCTTTAGTTCTTATTGGCATTGTACAAGGTTGTTCCCTTGCTAGCTGCTGTTTTTGCATACAATTCGTGTACAATCTGCCAAGAATAGTGTTAGAGCAGTGTTAGGAAGTACAATACTGTAAAATAATATTGGTTACATATACTGTACACAGTGTGCTGTACATTCAGGTAGTGTGAAAGTACACCAGTTCCCCCATTAGCATCATTCCAGTCAATGTTGTTTCATTATAACTTCATTGAAAACAAAAAACTATGAAAAAGATAGATGTACAACAACTTTACAAATTTGGTACGAAGGCACTTGGTGCCTGGGTCAGCTGTGATAGCCTCTGACTGTGTAAGCGACTGGCGTCAGTCTCGGCATGGGTGCCATGCAGTATTTGTTAGGTGATTGGCATATGCTCTTCCAACATTCACTTAAAACCAATTATGAATTTATTTGAGCCCTAGAACAATGAGTGCTAAATGTGCATTATGCACCACTACAGCTTGGGGGGTCACAGAAAGAAGAGGAAAAGTACTTCATAAGTTAAATTAGACGTGGTAAAGAGATTTGAAAAGAACAAAGAGCTGCCAGTCTGCAGCCTACAACTGTATGAACTATTCATGGGAATGCAGAAAAAATCAAATCCTGTGCTAAAAGTGTTACTCCACTATGTAACTCGCAACAGAAGTGGAAATATGGAAAGAATGCCGAACATTTGGATCAAGGATCGGCATCAACGAAACTCGCCATGTTCATTGCTCTACATACAGACGAAAGCTTATAAGTTTATTTAAACTTTAAAACGAGAAAAAGATAATAGTGCTGAAAGCGAAACATTTGTGGCAAGTCAAGGGTGGTTTGAACGATTTAAGAAGCGTTCAAACTTGCTCAACATAAACATTACAGGCGAGTCTACATGTGCAGACAAGGAAGCAGCTGCTGCTTATCCAGCAGTATTGAAAAAAGTAGTTGAAAATGATGAAAATACACCACAAGAAGTGTTCAATGTCGATGAAACGGGTCTATTTTGGAAATGAATGCCAGCCAGAACATACAATTCAAAAGAAGAGAAATGTGCACCTGGGTTCAAGGTGGCCAACGATCTCCTGCTTAGGGGTAATGCTGAAGGAGATCTGAAGCTCTGCCACTGCTTGTTTACCTTGCTGAGACACCAAGGGCTTGGTCACTAGAGCAGTGTTTTGAAGAGTGGTTTTCTGGATGTTTCTGCCCAGATAATGTCCAAGTCATTTTTCTGCCTCCAAACACAACATCCAGGGGGTTACATTGCCCTTCAAGGCCTATTATTTGAGGCACACTGTAAGGGAATTTTGATGTGCCAACATCACATCATGAAAGTGATTGGCAATTTAGAAATCAATAAAAATATGAATTGGGTTTGGCATAAAATCTGGCCAGAATGATTTCATTAGATTTGACCAGCCAATAAACGAAGTTCATGAAGAGATTGTTGGATTGGCACAGTAAGCTGGGTTAAATGAGGTAGATGTAGTGGAGTTACTTGAATCACAAGGTGAAACATTATCAAATAATGATCTCCTGCAGATGGAACAACAACAAGCAGCTGAAAGTGAACAGGCATTACCAGCACGATCCTTATCGAAAAAAATATTTGTCGAAATATGACCTTTGCTTACAACTGTTGCATGTAATTGTACAAGCAGAAAAAAAAAGAATGCCCTCAGCTGACATTGGACATGATTTTTAAACACCCATCTGAACAAGAAGATCCAGCAACACCACCACTTGCCACATCACCCCACTCTGAAGCAAAGCAATACCAGGCCCCTCATGCATTCTTTACAACACATTTAAGGGATCTGAAATGGACACCTTCAGTGATAACGACCCAGATTCTCATCAGCCATCAAGTAAATATAATCTTATTTTTGTTTATTAATGTTATTTGGATGTGTAGTACACATTTATTTATATTTAGAATATAGTAGTGGTGTTTTTGGTCTTTATTTGGTGACTGGATTTAAAAATTTTGACCAGAATTGTACCAAAGGAACATAACTCCTATTTATAGCATTGTCTATGGTAAAATCGGTTTCACTAAGAGTCGCTTCACTTAAGTCGTGGTTTTCAGGAACCTAACAACATTATTAATGGGGGAATTGGTGTACCAGATGTATAGGAAAAGGGGAAACACTAGAGCACCTTAGCTTTGGTCTTTATTGAAGACATCTTCAGGTCATGAGACCCACTGTCCCCCACCTCACTACAAATAATGAGTTTATGTACAATGGGTGACCTGACAATGCAGCAGGTCATGTCAATAATATGACCCACTAATCCCCTACCTCAATTGCAAGTATGAAGACATAAAAAGTGATTACAGTAATGTGTACTGTACTGAACATTCAGCAGAGGACTGTGTATGCCTATTGTAGGCTAAAGATCCTGGTAGACTTGCCCCTTACAAATGCTGGCATCTGTGACACTGATTTTGCAGTTGAACTATTTGATTTTTAACACAAAATTTGCAAATAGTATGGATGCTTTTAAAAAGAAAACTTTTCAGTGATAGACACACCACGAGGTGTACTACGGCTGTGACCATAAAGATCACTGGTGAAGCAGCAAATGCTGACCATGCTGCCATTTCCCAACATGTTTAAGGCTCTCACAGGCAGGAGGATACACTGCAAGAAGTGTTTAATATGGATGAAACTGTTTTCTTGAAAACTTTCCATCAAGAACATTAATTTGATCTTGATGGAGGAGAGTGAGTTTGTTCCAAGTTTGCAAAGGACTACTTGGGTTTAATGCTATGTGGCAGTATCACAGGCCACTTTAAATGCAAGCCACTATGTACCAGGCCTATGCCTGTACACTGGCCTTCCAACAAAAAAGTGTTTTATTGTTATCACTAAACAAAGTTGGCTAGTAAATTACTTTAGCAATGAAGTTAAGTGGTGCTAATTGATAATGTACTTAACAATCCACTACATACTTTGTGACCTGCATCTAAACATCCAAAATTTGCTTTGGACACGGAATACTACCTCAATTGCAACTGCTACAAAATTAACCAGATGAATCGGGCAAGAAACAGGAAGGACGTGGGTTACAAAAACTCCATCAGGAAGTACAGTTCACACCCTTTGTAGACAGGTGTACTGTACTACCAAATGAGTACAGTACAGTATGCTGTATGTGTTGAAATTCAAAGCAGTGTAACTGTGCTGTTAGTAAAGAATGTGACCTGCCTTTTCAGTACAGTACTGTATACACAATCACTTGGGAGTCTAAACAGCAAGTTTGGAGTTCTTGGTGAGGCTGGAATGTTACTACTGTAATTGGGTTGCTGGGTCTGGGAAACTGGAGTCACCTAAGATGTGCTTTAGGCATAAACGAGGAATTGATCTTGAAATACAGGCTTTTAAATGAGCACAGATCACACACATTAACTGGGAGAAAGGTCAGTACAAAAATGTGAATATTGTACTGTACAGTATTCCAAATTTTTGAGAACCCATTTGGTTTGATTTATGCCATTAATCAAATGTTTGTCCAAAGAACCAGACAATGTCTTGTTCTGTAGTTAAAAAAAAAAGATAATGACACAAAGACTGAGTATTAATTTAAGGTACACTTTGACAATGACGAGGCATTGGGTATAATTTCCGTTCCATACAGGGTGTTTAGGTAAGAATATAATAATTTGCATTTACATAAATTCATTTTATAACTTAGAACATATACAATAGTGCACTGTATTTCATCTTATTAATGGCAAACATCATAGTATTCTTTTTCACATCTAAGTTTTTGCTTATTTTGTTATGCCTTGAGTGCTGACCATGGAAGCTATGAGGTAATGTGAATCTTTGGGGCTACACTTACGGTACACCGAATGTAAAAGGTATATTCATATGATGATTAACCAAATTGCCACATGTTGCCCGAATGTTAGGCTTCGGATACGGGAGGTTGGGAATGTATACAATACTGTACTGTATTCGTCATACAAGTACAGGTTGTACCTCTCTAGTCCGGCAACCTCGGGACCTGACCGGTGCCGGACCATGGAAATTCACCCTTTTCCTGGATAGATAGTGACTTGTGCTTATGCCTGGAAGCACTAGCACCACTTTCTCTGCATCATGGTCTCTTTGAAGACATATTGAAGGGTTAAATGTCGTATAGTAGCTTCTCAAATTTCGCGAGTTTTTAATTCTTAATGTATTTTATTGGTAAATAAAAATTTTGACGGCGGAAACTTGAATTTCGACGGGTTTGAACGGCCCGCCAACATGCATAATCGTGTAAACAGCGTCATTTCTCTTCTGTACAAAAGATTCATTATTGTTTATTACTGAATGTCTTTTTTATTGAATTAATGTTTATGTGTGCAAAATGAGCAATACAATTCATTAATAATACGTAGAATATTAAAACACACGAGGAAATGACACAGCATTGTTTTCGTTGATTACAAAACCAGTGACTGACTGGTTCTACATATACAACTGAAGAAAATAAGACCTTGGTTGTAGCTGTAGTAAAATTAGTATGGTTGTTTTAAGTAATGTTATTTAATGTTAATAAATGGAACAATAGAAGTAGCTAACGATAATGGTAAAGAAAAAGAGAGATCGCATATGTAAGTGCGCATGCACACACGTGAAAACATATCGTCATTACTTTACATAAGAATATGAAAGCAACACTTATTTACTGTTCATATATATTTTAATTAATGTTTCTGAACTTGTTTTTATTGAATTAATGTACGTGTGTGCAAAATTAACAATACAATTTATTAATAATACGTGGAATATTAGAGGAGACGAGACGGCTGCCGGCATTGTTTATGTTAAAGCTTACGAAACCAGTGACTGATTGGTTCTACATATAAAACTGAAGAAAATAAGACCCTGAGTTTAGCTGTAGTAAAATTATTGTAAAAAATTAATATGGTTGCTTGAAGTACCTGTAATGTTATTTAATGTTAATAAATGGAACAATATAAGTAGCTAACCATTAATGGTAAAAAAAAAAGTGAGACTGCTCGTATGTAAGTGCGCACATGTGAAAATATATCGTCATTACTCTACATAAGAATATGAAAGCAACACTTATTTACTGCTCATATATATTGAAGGGTTAAATGTTGTACTCTGTATAGACAAGCAGAGAGAGAGAGCAGCCGAACTGCCGGATGTAAACAAACCTTAATTTCCCGCGGCTTTTTTTTTTTTAAGGGGATTAGCCCACCCGGGCATAGGTCACTGACCCACATTGGGGCCTGAGGGGCAAAAATTTAATACTCCTGTAATAATAATAATAATTCAGATAAAAAAAAAAAAAAAAAAAAATACTGCCTATCTACCTCGTGGACAAACTAAAATCGTTCCGGACCACAGAATGCCGGACTAGAGAGGTACAACCTGTACTGTATAGGTAAATAGCCTTATGCTTAGCTTGGAGGCGAGAGAAACAGGTCTCGCGGCCCGATAATAACAAATGCACCTCGTAACACAGCCTATAAGGAGGCTGGTGAGTGTTGCATTAAATAACATGAGTACTGATTTTTTGAAGTACCACCTTGCATGTTTTTAACATTATTTTGGAATCCTAACTTTGCATGTTTACACTTGCCAGACCCCTCCCATTCGCTCACCTTAAGTTTACTAGTAATTCTTGTTGGCCCTGCAACATTTTTATAATAATTTTGTGCACAAATATCATGTACAACAGTTTAACGATTTCCCTGAATGAAATAAAGTTCTAGTTTATTTATATATCCAAACCCAATTTTAGACAGCGTCATCAACCAAGCAAGAGGGCCATAATGCATGAAAGTTAAAACACGTTGAAGAAAGGAAATGATGATTGCTCTGGATTTAAAAAATCTGCAATGAAACATGCTGTGCCAGCCAAGCCCTCATACAGGCTATAAGGAGAATCTGGTGTGCGTGCCTGACAAAATTCTCTTGTATTGAGAAAATTGCAAAACTGGAGAGCCCGATGAAGGTGATTGGGATCACCAGTCAGGCGGAAAAGAGTGAGGAACACATAGCCACTGCCTGCTACTCCATGACATATACCTGTAAGAAAATTAGGAATTTAATACATTGTACAATATAAATGGAAATACTGTACTGTACAGTAATATCCCAGTTACTTGGAATAATTGGTGCAGAGTTCTTCCAGGTCATGAAATGACTGTCAAGCCCGGAAAAAATATGAAATGCTCGGAATTTTCTGGGTATACTGGGGAAAACTTCCAAGTCTCAACTTTTTCTCGCCAGGAGTTATCACACCACTGACCCATACCCCCATTACCGAGCCACTGAATATAGAATGGTACTAATATTAACACTTCAATATTGAATATTGAATGGCAGTGTTAAAACATACTTACTGCTTGGAGAGAAGCTACCTTCTGTATTGTAAATATAACATTAAATTTATATCACCTTATGAATTAAATCTGGTGAAATTAGTAAATTCTGTATCGACTTTTGGCAGCCCTCAATGTACCCCCTGGAAACCCTCCTGCATACCCCTGGGGGATCGCAAACCCCTGGTCAAAACTATGCATCTCAGCCTAAAATAGCACAACTACTGCAACTGGAACAACTAAACCAACCTCTATGTACATTCAGAAATATCCTAAAAACTTCTCTTACATTTGTCTGGTGAATAGAATATTTGTGATTTTTTTTTTTAGTGCCTTATCTGAAGAGCAGGTATGATATTTAGATCCAATAAATATAAACTAATAACCCTATTTATAACAGTTATAAATGGCTTCCACAAAGTCTTCTCAAAAGACTTAGAAACTTCACCTTCCACTCATATACAGAGTATACTGAATCAAAATCTCCTTTTATCCCAATTCCTTCCTTTTCCTCTTAAATTTAGAGTACAGAAATTAACATTATGCTCCATACCCTTTCATCCACTAATTTATGACCACCTTTAATTAGGACACCAAAACACTCCATGTTGATACATTAGATTTTCTTGTACAGTACTATAGTAATCCCACAAATCTACCAAAACAAAGAAGTACAGGAGAAAGAATTACACCATTTACAAGATAAAAACTATTACAAAGTAGAGAAATTCCTTTGGATCTGTTGAAACTGTATTGATACAGTATGTCTTCGATTACAACAGCTATTTTAATAAAGCCAACCAGAGATGCTTTTGTTGACGTTTAAGTGTTTCAGTTAACAGTTGTGCTGTGAGAAATGGTAACTATGGTTCTGGTTAGTTTAAGAGGGTTGATACACACACACCTGAGAACTTGAAAGCAAATATAGGAAGTGTTGCCATGCACTGTACTTTAAATGCTTCATCAGAGAAGACAACCTATGTCAAAACTTGAATACAGTTACTGTAGTAGTAAAAAACAATATAATTTAATTATATATCTTCACTTCACTGATAAAATGTAAAAATGATCCACAACCTTCACTGAGTTATCGGTGTGAGAGGTTTATAGTTGTTTACTGGCAATGAACATATATCTTATATTCATACTATACAAACTCTAACAATCACCTACCTGGTCCCTTTTTCAGTAGTCCTTTGTGCCACGTAACATCACCACACTTTATACAGGCTTGTAAATACCTTTTGTCCTCATATACCATGTATGCTTTGGCAAGTAAATACACAGTACCTGAAGAAAAAAAAAGTTTGTTATAAAACAAGTACTGTACTGTACAAGTACTTAATAATTTACCATAATGCAATTTACATTACTGTATTCTATTTACCTAAATATTAAGAGGATAGCAAATAAATCATAACAGAAAAAAAGAATTTTAGCTGCATCTTGTATACAATACTATATCCCAGAGTATAGCTAAATATCCAACACAAAATGTACTTCTGTACAAGCAACAATTCTGTTAAACACATTATCACAAGCATTTATTTAAAAATACCTTTTTCCAATTACAGGTACAGTATTACTATATTACAATAGCATATTAATATTATTTGTTTATTTGTTTGTTTAGTTCTTGTATTTATTCTCTTCATGTACAGGGGGTCCCCGACTTATGAACACCCGTCGGTCCCATAAAGTTGAACTTTATTTTTTTTTAACAGGGATAAGCCCACCCAGGCACATTAGACAACACACTATGCTTCTAATATATTCCCAGGCAGTAATACTTCCCTGTTTGATAGCTGCCTACTAATTTTACCTGATGACTTAATTTTTACTTTCATTTACTGTATTTTGTCACCATTTCTTTTCTCTTAAATTAAGAGATTTTTTAATATATATAAGGACTTAGGCAATGATATAATGGGATTTTAAACATTGTTCTGTAAGTACAGTATGCACATAGGGTATGTGTTTCAACTTAAGAACATCTGTAGGAATGGAACTCATACATAACCTGGGGACTGCCTGTATACAATACAGTACACTATATACTGTACACTGGTACAGGTATTAAAAATATGTATGAATTTTCTGATACAGTACAAAGTTCTGTACAGTACAGTACTCATCCTGCCCTCTCTCAATTATTTTCAACTGTTTGAACTATTGTATATACATCTGGCAAAAGACATTTGAGCACTTTTAGTACAGATACTTCTTTAAGTGATGTACGTAATTAATTTTCTGTTTGGTACAGTGGACTTTTTCACTCCAATTAATTGGGAATGTAATAAAGTTAGTACATTTATCAGTGTCAGATACTTTGCTTTAGCTAACCTAATCTTACCTGGAGCACCATGACACCAGTGCACAAGCTCTTCTTCAGGTGGTCGCTGTCCATCAATTTCATCCATTGCACTTGGAAAGTTCCCATTGGGTGCCTGAAGTACTAGGAGAGCATCCAGTGATTTTTTTATGAGTTCTTTAGCATGTGGTCGACAGGAGAGCCATGAGGGGAAGCTGAAATACGATTATTATTCAGCAAAGCATGTCTGGTCACTCTAGAGAGCTCATTTAAGGTCAATGACCACTTAGTACAACCCCATTCATTATTTTACTTAAATAATTACAAAAACTTTTCACTTATATGTAACTTGAAATAAGAAAAGTTAACCTGCCCAAGAAATTTCTATCTACTGTATATAGTAAAGTAAACGGATCCATAAACTTGTAGACATTCTCATCAGTCTCATTGTTTCATGTTTTATGTTTTATATTTTATTTTTATTTTTAAAACTTGCATATAGAAAAATAACAAATTTTCTCAATACTGATCATACAGTTAACTTAAATATCTGAAAAAGAGATTGACAACAACTTTATTTGTACAGTGAGTTCTGCTATAACGCGTGTTTTGTCAACGCGAATTGGCTGTAACGCGATTGATGAATAGAAGAACAATATTTGTAAAATGCGAACGCGTGTTGGCTGTAACGCGATTCCACTCCAACGGTTGTTGTCGACTGGCGCGGGGTTATGCAGTGTTTACAGTTCACGTTCGACATCACATGTTCAATTGATTTATGTGTTTTGTTTGTGAAGAATTGCAGAAATAATTTATGTAATATTTATATATACAGTATACCTGTACAGTATATGTAAATTGTAAAATTTTAAATAAGAGAGAAAAACAAAATACGTAGTGTTTTACACCCGCGCTCTCTGTTTACATTACACGCACGATCAGTTTGAAACGCGTGGGAAGTTTTTAAGCGTCCTCAGTGATTTTTGCTTACTGTTTCTCCAATTTTGTGACTTGAAAAGAAGAATATCTCCGGGAAGCGTTCTGGTGATCGCATTTCCGGTGGTGATGGTAAAAGAAAGGCTATAGCCATTGAAGAAAAGCTTGATGTTGTCAAGCATTTTGAAAATGAGGAAAGAACATGTGATATTGTGCATGCAACGGGAATAAAGGAGTCTACTTTACGCACCATTAGAGACAATGCAGGAAAGATTAAAGCAAGCTGTATTGCTGGAAAAACCTTGAGTGCTAGCAAAAGTGTGAGATCACGGCCAAAGGAACTTGAGGAGATGGAATGGCTTCTAAGTTTTGGATAGAAGATCAAACGGAAAAGCAATCTGGGACCAGCTTCCTCACCATTAAAGAGAAAGCCTTATCAATATATATGAGGACCTAAAGAAAAAAGCTGAAAATCCTGATGATGTGATTGCCTTTAGTGCAAGTAGTGGATGGTTTTCTGGTTTTAAGAACCGCTATGCATTTCATAATGTAAAGTTATGTGGTGAAGCAGCAAGTGCCGACGAAGCAAGTGCCCGGGCATTTCCTCCCACTGTAAAGAAATTGATTCAGGAAGAAGGCTACACCTTAGACCAAATTTTTAATTTGGATGAAACAGGTTTATACTGGAAGTGCATGCCAACAAGACCTTACATTTCCAAGAATGAAGCACATGCTCCAGACTTTAAGGCTGTGAAGGACCGCGTGACAGTGTTGTTGGGTGCAAATGCTAGAGGAGACTTAAAGCTTAAGCTTGTGCTGGTGTATCACTCTGTCATCCTGCAAGCTTTAAAGGGTTACATAAAGTCTACTCTAGGTGTTCACTTTAGGTCAAGCAAAAAAGGTTGGATGATGGGACAAATTTTTTCTGACCTTCTTGTGGATGTTTTTGAAAATGTTTTTAAAAATTATTGCAAGAAGAAGAATATAGATTTTAAGATTCTCCTCATTTTAGATAATGCGCCAAGCCACCCTCCCACCATTGCTGAGCTTTCTGACAATATCAAAGTGCTCTTTCTACCTCCAAATACATCTCTCCTTCAACCAATGGACCAAGGATTAATAGCAACCTTCAAAGCCCATTATTTGAGGCATACATTTAAGAAACTTATTGCAGCTACTGAGGAAGGAAATGATAAGACCAGTGTTCTTCAGTTTTGGAAAAGTTTCAACATCAAGCATGCAATTGACATCATTGTGGAGGACTGCTTGAGTGGAGTTTGGCGGAAGCTTCTCCCAGATTTAATTCATGATTTTACAGGCTTTGATGCATCAGAGGAGCTCCCAAAAATAAAAGAAAATTGTTTCTCTTGTAAAGCAAGTTGGCTTTGCTGAAGTGGAAAGTACTGATGTTGAGGAACTGCTCGAGTCCCACTGTGAAGACCTCTCTACAGCTGATCTACTAACAACTTGTTGCTGCTGGGGAAATAGAAGATGCCGAAGATGATGAAGTCAAGGATGCAAAACCACGAGAGCTTCCCACTTCTGTTTTGTCTTCTATCCTGAGGGCAGTTGATAAGCAGTTGCAGATCTTGGAAGACAATGACTACAATGCAGAAAGGAGCAGGATTGCAGTTTGTGGTGTTAAATCTTTTTTGGCACCTTATGAACAGCTTCTTTGTGAAAGAACAAAGACGGCAAAGCAGCAAACATTAGATGTCTTTTTTAAGTTAACCCCCAAGAAGCAGTCTGAACCACAGTCTGAAGACACCGAACCACAGCCACCCACTTCTGGAATTAGACGTTTTTTTCGTCCCTCCCATGCAACCAAAACTGCACCTGATACTGATGATGACGATGACAACTGTCAAATCCTGTCTGCATGACTCCTCAACATCAACCTTCTCCCCCATCAAGTTATATTCATATTTTTTCAAGGTAAAGGTGTAACATTTACTGTATGATTTCATTATTAGATATGAATGTAACATTTATTTAGACTGTTCTATCCTTTGTGTTGGGCTAACTGCTAAATTTTTTTTCGATTTCGAGTAATCTGCACCTAACCCTATTTTCTCCATAAGCCCTGTTATTTCTATTGCGTGAATTTCTAGAACGTGAGGTTTTACAAGAACACTACTATCGCGTTATAGCAGAACTGACTGTATTTTAATAAAACTGTAGTAAAGTACGAGTAGTTAGTGATCAAAGTCTACCTGAGCATCATGTGCAGTATCCCAGCTAAACCATGAGCTGCTCCTAAATACTCTGTCTTGTAATACTGATACATAAGTGGGATGCGACTTTTGTGGTCATGAGCATACTTCTGTCCAGACTCAATCATGGCATCCAATATGGCACTGACTGCAGGCTCTGGTAATATCTGCAACACGAATGACTGTGATGCAACAAATTATGAAGTACATGTTCTGTACTGAGTACGAATGGAGACTTCCCTAAATCTAACATTAATTTCAACAGAGTAAAAGCTTCCCAATCTGATATTTCTGTATGTGAATACTATAATGTTGAACTTAGTAATGAGGACTGAGATTCAGTTACTGCTAGGTTATTTGCTTAACAAGAGCACTACAGTGAGGAATAAAAGTGAGAGTACCGGGTACTGTAATATAAGGTTCAATTGTTTTTTGGAAAACACTTCTATTCATATTTAGGCTCAAAGCACCATCTTTATGATACTTTCACCACATTGTAATTGCTGCACCTGTTCTTTTGGCCTACAGGTCATCAGTGACACATGAGACACCTCCACTAGAACATCCCCCTGCTTTTGCTCTCTTGGTCAAGGGGTCTGACATAACCTAAATGAAGGCCACAATGTCTTATTAATCATCCTATTGCAATGTAAACTGCAGTACCTGTATAGCACTTCTACAATCAGTAAAACTTGGGTAGACAATGCCGTGAACTCCTAATATGGTTGTTGGTTTCCAGCTATTAGGGCCTCAGGATCACCAAGTTGAAATCCTATGATAGGTTTATCTAAATCTCAAGACACTCATGGTTAAAAATTTATGTAAAATTACCGAAATATTTTTTTTTTACCATTAACTATAATGAGATAACACGATTAGTCATTTTAATTAATATGGAACTCAGGGGAGTTTGGAAGTGGCCCTTCTGATGGCATCAGGCCTAAAAGGTACTTTTCTGATTGAGTTTTGCTCTAATACTATGCTTAAATTTTTTTTATCCACTTTATAAAAAGCACCAACAATAACTCATAAGAAAACAATGAATGAATATTTCCACATCTCAACTTTTAAAGACTCATGTACAGTAACAGCATTTCCATCACTGGTTCAGGTTTAAATGGAATGGTTGAACAATGACCCTTAAACTTGGGTAACTACATAATGACCTTTAATTCTGAATGCAACAAGATATGATCAGTCTTATTGTTGATACAGTATGTCATCATTATTTTACCCCTAACTATAATATATATACATTACTAGACAGTATTCATTCATCTAATAGCAGCAATGTCATAATACGTAGTTTGAGTTTTATGTGGACCTTAATGTGATGTGCGTATAAACTTCTGAGAATAGTGAATGTACTGTACAGCAGTACTTACATCTCGCTTAAGTTCAGATTGAAGCCAAATTAGTCCAGCAAGATAACCTGCACGTCCAACAAGAAATTCATCACCTCCATGAGAATACCAATTCACTGGAATCAGATGAGCAGCCAGGTGTGAAAACTCTGATGCATATTTCTCGGATTCTTTCATATTGCCTGAAATATTGTTAATGAATTAATTTTTAGCTAATCTGAATTAATTTCTACAATGCTTTAAAGAATGAAGGCATGATCCTGGAAATCCCATTTCAAAACTACAGTATGTCAGGATGAGAGGACTTAGTGTTTTATTACTATCAAGTCCACTCAGACTATCTCTTTAACAATGACTACTGGACAAATGGTCTTCAATTTACTCATATAACAATCATCTTCCTTAAATGGAGGATTACAAGTGAGAGTTGCCACTGAAGGCTGAGAGGTGATGAGTCCACTACAATACAGTAGTGTGCATAACCTAACCATCCTTCATCTGTCATTAGTTACAATGGATTTCCAGCTGAACTCCTTGATATATCCAGTGTGAGGAGGGAGGGTTTAACCTTCTTTTTATGGCTTATAAACTGGGATTTCCATGACTATTCCTTCATTTGTAACCCACATATGGACCCTGGAAGAAAGAAAGGAGATAACAAAATGCTACTGTGAACCCCAACCACAAATAGCTGCAGTTAGGGGTTCCCCAAACAGTAGAAAGCAAATTAAGGCCAATGGTGATACAGGGATGAAAGAACGTCAAGATCATGAGAAAAGGAAAACAAATGGCACAATGAATTTTCAGTAATATACAGTATATACCTAATTTCATGTGAGTTGAATAGAACAGTTGTTCCAAAAAGCAGCTAGGCTAGGGGAGACATATGAGAATAAACCATGTCCCCTCTTGTACAGTACACTGTAGTTAGTACATAGTGTGCTGGGTCTTTCAGAGCACTTTCATCTCTCCAGATCACACAGCATTTTAAAAGGAGAAAGAATCTACATGCACTGTTTGGGCAGAAGAGCTATACAGTACAGTACTTATCTTTCATAAAAGATGTTGCACACCATGCAATTAAGTTTAGGAGTACTGTACAGTATAAAGTACGGTTATGTGTCCGTGTGTCACTACTGTAATGTGTCACTCCTCTTCCACCTGTACTGTACTTCATTCAACAAAATTAATAATAAAAAAAAATCTGATGACAGTAAATTTTTAATGAAAATCCTCTCTCAAATTATGCAAACTTACCTAATGCTTGAAAAATTACAGCTGCAACAGCATATATACCAGCATTGCCCAATATGAATGCAACAACATCAACTTTACTGCCACTTGCTTTTGTGTGGGTAGCAAATTCCAGAGCAGGCTTTAAGTAGCCAGCTGCTTGCTCCAGGAGATGTCCTCTTTCTTCAGAAAAATCAGGCATTTTTGAAAGGCGATAAAGAGTGTATATAGCTCCTGGAATTCCCACATAGAGGCCGCCATCACAATTCTGTGAAGAGTTGAATACTGTACTGTACATTCAATCTAGAGCACACTAATTTATCTAATAAAACCAGTTCTAAGAGACAAAAGTTCTGTCTTTAAAATCTAAAGGAGTAGGTAACAAGGGTGGTTCAAGAAAAGGATTAAGGTTCCAAGCACCACTGCAGGTCAAAAGTCGGAGGCTAAACGAAGGGTGTGGCAGGAGTTACCTCCCTCATGAGGAGAGAGCATTAGATATCAACTGGGAAAATTTTGAAATCTATAACTTAATTGGTGATTTCTGTGGCTACTTCAAGAATTAATATTTTGTACATGAGGTACACCTCGTTTAGTTATTATTATTTTTTTTTTTAATTAAAAAATATTAAGCCTCAGGATTTTTCATTTTCCTCTCTCTCACTTTTGTATCCTTAATGCAGGCTGGCCAGAATCAAGAGCAAATGACACACATTTTCCTTTGATTCACTGATATAAATGAGAATTACCACTTAACAGCCTTGGGACCACACCCTCGTCTCAATTACCGATACCTTGTAAAACAGTGGTTTTCAACGGGGTCCGGGAGGAATTTTAAGTCCAAGGGAGGAATTGGGGAGGATTATGTATAGTTCTCCGTGCAATGGCTCTCAAAAGGCAACTGTCTGGAAAGGTTCATTGCTCTGTACGGCACTTTGTTGGACTTTGGTGGGGACCGTGATGACTACCAGTTCTTGAAATCCAGTGAATCCAAGGCCTTGATTTCATATCTTGCAGATATTTGGGTAAACTGAATGCTTTAAATCAGGAACTGCAGGGTGAAAAAAAAATCATGGACTGCAAAACCAAAATCTGTGGTTTTATACACAAACTGAACTTTTGGAGGGCCCAGGTCTTGAAGAATCATCTGTCCCAATTCACGCATCTCAGCAAATGTGAACCATTGGATGATGTCCTCTGAATCATCTCTGAACATCTTTCCAACCTGCATGTTGAGTTGAATGACAGATTTACCAATCTCAAACAATTTAACATTCTCTCTTGGATTACTCAGGCATTTCTTTTTAACTGCAAAAATAATGAGTGTCTGATTATGGACTCTGATCATATCGACGAATTGATGGACTTACAAAACGATGACAGCGTGAAACCGATCCATGCCTAAAAAAAAAAAAAAAATGATGTGGCTGGATCCCCAAGTCAGTGTCAAATATAACAGCTATGGAAGCCCACCAAGTACTTCTGCCATTTCCGACCACATACCTGGTTGAATGTGCCTTCAGTGCTGGTACGAATATTTTGAAGATCTTCGAGCAAAATTTACTTGTTTTGTTCCTCGATTTTCTCATTTAGTTTCTCAGCACGAGGCTCAAGGTTCTCATTAAAGTTGTACAATTCTAATGGAAATCTGATTATAATAGTTACAATTCTGAAATCAAAGATTTTTTTATTTAATTTTTTGCTCAAATAATCACCTTTAATTTAATTATTCGTTAATGATGTGTTTTGTTTTGTAGAAATAAAAGTTGTTTCTTATTTCTTCCTTCATTTTTTGGTCAAATAATTACCTTTAATTAATTATTAGACAATTGTTGTTTTGTTTTGTAGACTAACTGAATTTCAATACTGTAATTCCTATTGTAAAAATAAAGTAAAACCAATGATGCAAATACCGGTACTTTATTCTTTCATGCTGATTCAAGGAGGAGGATTTGGATGAGCCTGGTATCGTTAAGGGAGGAATGTGATGTGGGATGTTGAGAAACACTGTTATAAAAGATAGGCTGATCTACACACTGGAAGTGTTGGCCCAAAATCCAACTTGTCAGATGACCTTGACTTAATTCCACTGTTTGTCCAGCATTCATTCTGCTTGGTTGAGGCTGATGACTTAGGTTACTGAAATTGGTTACTAGCAAATATGGTTAGCTTAGGTTGGGTTTCTAAGTGACTGAATTCAGTAAGCTAAGAACAAGCCTGAGTAATCAGAACGAAGGCTAGATAAATAGTGGAAGTAAGTACAGATCCATACACCGTACTGCAGTATATAAGAAAGATCCAAGGAGAACAACAGTGTGTACAGGTAATAGAGAAATGACCAGCAGCCCAAGCAGCAAGGCAGCCAATCAGTGGTGACAAGGCAAGGTAAGGTAAGGTAAGGTATAGTACTGTACTGTATAAGATTTGTAGAAAAAAAAATTAAATGGCAAATACAGAAATAAGTTTCAATTGCCTACAATACTTCTAAGGACAATTACCAACAGTTTTTCTACTACACAACTTCAAGAATATGAAGTTAGTAACACAAATGGTCCCTAAATTATGACTATATAAATAAAATTTAAAGTAGATATTACATCATTTTGATGTGCAAAAATATAACGTGTTTTAGCACCTCACTTTTAATCATGCGTACCAAGTTCATGCATATTAGTGAGATTTCTTGTGCTATTCCTCTCGCCTTGGTTGGGTTAGATTAGGTTAGCCGCACTGGAATGAAATAAACATGGTAATGTGTGACAGATCTTCCTGGTAAAATGCATGCATGCATGCATCGGAAGGTTTGTTGCATGACACCGGCTGACGCCCTGCCTCTAAATAATGAATTCCTTTACACAGTGGATATTTTACAGTGAGCATAAGAACATAAGAAAATAAGGAGTCTGCAACAGGCCAGTTGGCCTGTGAATGGCAGCTCCTGTCGAGAGTTACTACCACTCTCTATCATCCATGAATCTATCTAGCCTACTTTTAAAACTTTCCAGCGTTCCAGCACTTACTACACAAAGTTGTTAAGCTTGTTCCACTCGTTAAACACCCTATTTGTGAGCCAGTTCCTTCCTACCTCCCTCCTAAACCTAAACTTATCCAACTTAAATCCATTGCTACTAGTCCTATCCTGCTCGGATATTATAAGAACTTTATCTATATCTCCTTTATTGATTCCTTTCACCCACTTAAATACTTCTATCATATCTCCCCGCACTCTTCGTCTTTCTGGGGAATGCAAGTTTAGTTTCTTTAATCTATCTTGATATGGAAGGTTTCTAAGTCCCGGAATCATTTTCGTCATTCTTCGCTGCACCGACTCCAGTGAATTGATATCCATTTTATAATAGGGGCACTAGAACTGAAAAGATATAGTTGCAATATGACCTCCGCACTCTTATTACTTACACTTCTAGATATAAAACCTAATACTCTATTTGCCTTGAACGGCTTAGTTCCTACTAACACTAATTTACCGTGAGTGCACTCTAATTGGTTAATCGTTCATTACCGGTAAAATATCCACTGCGTTCACTTTTTCTAGAGATATTGTTTGGATGATAGTAAGAAAATAGAAACGACAATGCATATAGGTTAGGAAGTTAGGTGAGGTTAGTTTAGGCAAGGTTAGGTTAGGTTAGGCAAGGTTCTGGCCAATCAGAGCGCAATCACGGTAAAATAGAATTAGTAGGAAATTAGCCGTTCACAGCAAAATATCCACTGCCATTCCTTTACAAATGAATCTATGAAGCTAGCTAAGAAATTTTAACGAACAGGTGCCTCTTAGCTCTCGATTTAGCCCAGTATTGTGGTAAAGACTGTATTTATTGAAGGATATGTACGTAATATGGTGAATTATTATTTATGCACAGGTCTTTCTCTTGCTGTATTTCATAATGTTTAGACAATTCCAAGACCTTTTTCTTCTATGATATTTCAGCTGGAAATTAAGGATAACTGATATATTAATTTTTCAATATTATTAAATTCGCTCAGTCACAAGTGTCGCCATGTCTTATATACCTTGAGGAGATGTTATCTGGGCATCACACATGGGCAATAATGACTGACATCATCCAGTCGTGACCAATTATATCGATATCTTCAAGCGAATTTTTTTTTTTACCAATCACATTTGATTTTTTTCAAAGGAAGCAGCCTGGGTAATTTCACTGACCAGTCTCACAATGGCCGTGGTGGAGGTGAGGTTAGGTTAGGTTAGGTTAGGTTAGGTTAGGTTAGGTTAGGTTAGGCTAGGTTAGGTTAGGTTAGGTTAGGTTTTCTGTATCATATTCGTCACTTATCAGCGTGTTACCTCATGATTCGTTTTCTCCCCTACCCAAAAACCCATGATATATATATTGTGTGTGATAAATCCTTTTCATAGGTTAATACTAATAAATATTCCTTACGCGGTGATTCTTGGTCCACTTCTGAGTGATGGTCTGTATACGGTCTAAAGTTCTTCTCTTTATTTCCGCTTTATCGATCGTGACGTCTTTTCCATTATACTCCGGAAGATTGTTCACAAAGTAACGTTTAGGGGAAAACATGGTGAAGTGTCCGGCAATTATTAATAGAGGTAGAAAAAAGTGAAGTTAGCCTATGACGCCAAGCTCAGTCCGGGTCCTAGTGACAGCTAGTAATTGTCTATATTAAACTGTGATCTGTAGTGTCGATTTAATCTTTTTTTCGTTTAAAATAATATATCTTTTAATTTTATTGCAAATATTAATCCAAATTAACGTTACATGTAAGAAAAGAATATATTTATAACATTCAAAATCAATTATTTGTTTGGTAACCTTTATAGGAGATTATATTATATTAAAAAAATATTTTTCCTAATAAATAGATAAAATTATAATTGCAGATATGTTTTATAGATACATACATACAGGTTCTCGTTCTTTTTTTCATCATTTTAGAATGTGCGACCCAAGAAAATGGCTGACTCGGTGAGTAACGCTCAGGCGTCTGTTATTGTCTCATTTTCATCTTTTATTGTGCTATTTGTTCCCATGTTTACTAGGCAGTGTTTTTTTTTAGACAAGCATTAACTGTGTTATGTCAGTAGAGGCTAAGAAGAGGTTTAGCGGACCTTGTGAGTTGTTTACGGTGGGGTCGTGAAGTATTGGAAGCAGAATTAATACAGGAATTTTACAGTATTTGTGTAATAGTCCCATCACAGTTCAGTGTCTTTAGTTCACATAAAAATGGAAAGAGTTTTATGTTTATATATATATATATATATATATATATATATATATATATATATATATATATATAAACCAGCTACTTCTAAAAGGATAGAGCATCATGATGCGTTTATGTTGTACGGTATTGATAATATCTCCAAGAAAGAGAAAATTAATACGTAATATCAGTTCATGTTAGCGAGGCAGATAGATATTTATTGATCATAATCACCATACAAGTTCATACTGGTTCTGCATGGATAGCCATTTGGTCCCTGTGTAATAGGTACAGTACAGGCCCAACTAGACAGTCCACCCTGTAATGGTAAGTCGACTTCCATACAATATGTATTACTTTTTTTACACTCAGTTGTAATACTTGAAGAGACTGGCATGACATCCTGACAATTTTTACCTAGAAGATAACATGATAAGGGAGCAGACAATAAACAATTTAGCACCCAAATGTGTTTAAATATCATAGTGGATATTTTGCTGTGATTGGCTAAGTTCTTACTAACGCTATTTTACCGTGAGTGCTCTTTGATTGGCTAAGTACTTTCTGTGTAATATGACCTCCCCCCCCCCCAACTTTAGGTAAGGTTAAGTAGGTTGGTTAATATATAGGACTAACCCGCCAGGGCTGTATAGTGCTAATGCAGCCGTTTCATCTCACGTCCAGAAATTGCCTGAAATTTCACCATATTTTCTTTACCATTGTTTCAGTTGTTTTATTTATTAAATAATTAATATCCACGTATAATAATAACAATAATTCTCAAGTCGTCTGTATGCATGTGTAATTTCTATTCGTGTAAAATAATAACTTACAATTTATCACTCTAATGCCAGCAACTAACTGTCTGTTATGGTGACAAAACGGATTGATATTAGTGACGAAATGGGGTGTATCCGTTTGAAGCTATCCAGCGTATTCGAGTTAATGTTGATGTTTGTTAACTTGTTCCACCCATCCACTACCTGTACTCTATTTCAAAACCAGTGTTTACCTATCTCTCGCCTAAATCTAAATTTGTCTAATTTAAAACCGTTGCTAAGAGTTCACTCCTGGCAGGTTCTAGTAGGTTCTAGTAAATGTCACCTCATTTATAATGATAAGTTTCCATACACAACAGAAATATAGTTAGGTATGTTTACAGCTCCACGGTCATGGCAAAATATCCACTGCCTTTATATATTTTGTTCGAGTAACCTTAGTCTTTAGTTCATACACGATTTTGGTAACAACACATATCTATTGCGCCTTAATTATTGCTTCTATTGTCTTCTATTGGGGACACCAAAGTTAAGTGTTTTATGTTTGCCCTGGCTAGGAAGTTAGGTAAGGAAAGGTAGGTTTCTTTAGTTAAGTCAGGTTCTATTAGGTTCTGTGAATTGTCGTATTATTTCTATTACTATCATCCAAAGAACATCTGTGGAAAAATTAACCAAATCAAACCACTCCTTCCTGTGTTAGCTGTCTGTTCCTCTTTTACCGATGATAAAAGCTTTTTTACCTCGAGAAACAGGCGGAATGTGTTTTGTGAGTTATCAGATTGGACATGTGAATTGAGCTTAGGAAGATGGCCAAGCACAACCATGCCATGTTTGGAATGTAGGATTTGTGATAATGATTCGGTAGAGACCAACCACAGAAATTACTAACAAAATAGGTTTTCCTGGTGTTTCATACAAATCTGACCATCATTTCTGTTATAAATGAGTAGGTATGAAGATATAATCTCCCCCTCAACCAAACTACCAACAATTTAGATCACACAGTGGGCAGGGCTTTGAAATATAGAAGGAAATTATGATATATAAACACGTGAAAATTGATCAGCCTACCTTACCTTTGTCTTGATGTTTTTGTGTTGTTTCTCGGAAAAAACAAGTGTGTTTATTTTCACGATAATGGCAGTCTGCACCACACTTTGGGCTCTTTACAGAAGTTTGTATATCACTATTGGCCTTGAAAATGTCAATTGCAACTCCATTAGTATTTACAAAAAAAGGATGAATGGTTTTTCAATCTGAGAAATAACACCCTTGTTCAGAGAACCCATCTTGCGACTAACCAAGCCAACTTCACAAGCCTGAGCATCATGTGGCATCATGACTTCTGCCGATTAGTAGGTGTTAGTAACGAGCAGAAGTAAACAATTGTAATCCACTAACTTGTTCTTTATTAAATAATATAAAAAAGTCAAAATTCAGGAATTCAAAACTTAAAAATTTATGATAGAAATGCTATAAAGTATTCTTACTTGTTTTACTTTATCTTCCTATTTTTACCCCACCGGCATTTATCTTATTTACTTAATGACCACCCATCCGAGGAGGCCTGTAGCCAATGTAAGATCCCTCCATTGTTCTTGATAATTTTGTCGAGGGCTATTTTGAAGCCCAGTACACTGTACTACTGTTCTTGATTCCACTGTTTGGGCTGATTTCATAGGTCTACCACCCTCTGTGAAAAAGTTTCCTTATATTCATTCTCCATGATAACTTGGTGAGCTTGTACGCTAGTACTGTAATGTCCCCTCGTGTTGGTGGTGTGTGACAACAAAGAAATGTCCCGGGTTCACATTTTCCATCACCTTTCAGGATAGAGTTTTGTAGTTGGTCCCAACGAAATCTTACGGGAATGGTTCTTATTGCAGAAAGGAATTTTATTTGCTTTTAGAAGATTAGAAGAGGAAGTAATAATATTTTAGGTTAGGTTTGCTAGGTTAGTTAACTTCATTTTATTAAAGTTAAGAAATTGTAGCAGTGGGAAAGTAAGCAGAGGCGGCTTCTCCACAGATGGAAAAATGGAAATAACTTAAAACTGAAATGAGGCAAAATGCATTCCTCCTGCATTTTGTTTGCATTTATTGAGGTAAGAAAACCTTTATCTTGTATGAAAATTTTTTGTCAGATTGCTGCTAAGGTTGGACCGTTTTAGTCAAGTATTACCCATTCAATAAATGTGTAAATACAGGAAATGCTGTATTGTAATTGATAACAGTGTACAACATTATCAACTCTCCCAGTGAACTTTTCATACAAAATGACGACAAAATGCCGTACCAGTAATATCTGAACCAACCTACTTAACCTAACCTAACCTAAAATAAGTACTATATGTTAGTTCAGGTTTGGTTGGTTCATTTGTCTTATTTATGATAAATCATCAGTGGTAGGTGGTTGTAGAACTTAGCACCAAAATTGGAGACTGGAGAGACAGACACAATGACAAGGGAATCCAAAATAGTTTATACTAAATATGACGCATTAGTTTATAAGATATTGACAGGCTTAATGAAGGTAAGGTGAGATATGATTACACGGGGCAGCAGGCAGGGGAATCCTCTTGTGATTTTGGGGTGAGGGAGAGTCCGTGGAGAGAGACACAGAGAGGTTGAGATAATGATTAGGAGAGAAGGGATATAAGTCAATACTCTATACAGCATAGGTTGACTTAACACACAGGAATAATGATAGTTATAACATGTCTCTGGTACACGTTTATCATATACAGTACATTTAAGGGCATGCGGGTGTCCCCCCAATCTACAATCTCCCTATCAACTATATTCTGCTTTAACAGTGGTGATGCATTAAGGCCACCTCCATATTAATGGTGAAAACAATCTGCGTGAATGATGGTCATCGTCCTGCCAATGTGGACGTATCTCTTGGCTCACTTGTCAGCTGTGGTCTACCCAAGTGTCGCCACCCGATGCATTACAGTACAACCAAGCTGTGTTCCATGGAGATTGCACATGGCCGTGATTGTGTAGCTCAGTGATTAGCAGTCAATATTAGTATTGTTACTTATCAGTGAAGTGATTTTTGCTATGTTTTTAGGTGACTGTAAATTGCTTAGCCTCTCTTATTGTGAACATTGATGTGAGCAGTGTTGGCCACAATAATGTTATCATCGTTTGGTCTGTTTTTGTGACTGAAGTGAGCAATGTACCTTTGAAAATGTCTTGGAAGGTCAAGGCACCCAGGAAACTGTCTCTCTGGAGGTGAAGCTTGACATTGTGAAGTGACTTGAGACTCCCCAAAGGCTGTGTGGGAGTCAAGAGAGACATCTGTACTCCACCTTCTAGAGTCCCCCAAGCACCGAAGGGGATATATAATGACAAAAAGTCTTGTTCTTAATGATATGAGTGTTGTTTAATTCTGTTGTAGGTATATTATTTGAGTAGGAATATTTTGTTCGGTGATATGTGTGGGTGTCCAGCTGGCTGGGAACGTATCCCATTGAACCCCATGTTATAAAGATAGTTGATCGTAAATAGGGGATACTGTACCTGTAGGTACTTTTCACAGTCTATAATCCCTTATTTATATAGCTACTGTATTCTTTCAGTTATTTAATCATCATCATCATCACTATTACTGTATTCACAGTACCTACCTGTAGTAGACACTTTGTATGAGGCTCATGGGTGTTGTTTTTACTAAGATTTTGCAGTGCTGTACAGTATAAGGTAGTTTTGCTGATGATGTTGTTCTTGCTAAAATAACGAGTGAGACAATGTTTATGAATTATAATGAGTTAGCTATATGATGCTGACTTTCAGGAAGAGCGTGATGATGACAGCCAAGGTGGTGACAGCGATGATGAAATAGCAGAGTTACGTATTCAGGCACTACTGAGCAAGAGGGTTAATGAAGCAGAGGTTTCTCCTGCACGAGAACCACCCCAGGAGAAGCAACGGAATGTGAACAAACCCCTCCCTTCTGAGAGGCCTCGGCCATTTAGACCTGCACAGGTTAGCTGATTCAACCTTTCTAAGCATGAAGAAAGTGAAGATATTGGAGGATAGTAAATTTATACTAAAAGAATCAAATACAGAACAGTTAATGCACATCATACAGTTCTAAGATATTTCTGATTTTAGATAGTTTTTATACAGTACTGTACTGTTATATCTTTTTTCCTGAAAATTTTAGGGGAGTTTATTCTTTCTAGTCATCAGTTTCTCCGCCCATCTGTCTGTCTGTCTGTCTATCATATTTCATGTCTTGCCCAGAACTTTTTAACCTGTGGAAGTTTTTCAATCGAACTTGATGAAAATTTGTTCCTTATTAGGATGATGTATTTTATACTAAACTCAGAATGATACATCAAAGTCAAGGCCACAAAGTTTAAAGATGAACACAGGAAAAACTGGTCATGCTTGTTTTGAGTCCCTCTTATGGGGGGGGGGGCAATGGTTTGTTTCTCTCCCGTCTTGTTTGAATTGTATTGTATGGCATTTTAGTAAGAAGTTAAGCCGTGGAGTTTAAATGTGTATTTTGAGAATATAGAGAAGAGAAGGAAATAATACAGTAGCTTCGAATGAGGACAGTACTGTATATGTATTAGACTCAGTTCGGAGCCTCAGTGGTAAGATTCCACAGGACGAATTATAGTATGTACAGTATTAGAAAACAAGCCTCCGTTTTAACTTATCATTCTGTATAAAACCACAGGATTAGAACAAGATACAGAAAAAAATTGAAAAGGTTACAGTGAGAACAAGTTGGGAGGTGGTGAGAGTGAGTTAGCATATATATGGAGAAGAACTGTTCGAGTCATTTGTTGACATTTACGTTGATATTACCAAGATTAACAACTAGAAAAGGGTTTGAAAACTTAGTTGGTGCATAGTAGTGAGAAAGTCATCAGATATTGTAGGATTAGCATGAATTGGTAAAAGCATCGTGTAAAGGTGGACTTTTAAGCAGTAGATAGCATAAACCAAGCTTATTGCAGTGCCGTACAGTGATATCCCCATTAGCTGGAACAATTGGTGCAGAGCACTTCTGGAAATGAGAGATTTCTGGGTAACGAGATGACTTTCAAAACTGGAAAAAAAATCCTCCATCCATGAAATTTTTTCGGGTACTGGGAACGGTTTCTCTGAATTTTCCGAAAACTGCGTATTATTTCATCCTTGGAATTTGCTCCCTGACCTGAAAGAAATTGGAGAGTTTCTGGAATTTTCCAGAATTACACATTTTTCATCCTCGTAATTTGCATCCAGGCCTGAAAAAAATACGTATTGGGAGAGAGTTTCCGGAATTTGGGGGGGAGTTTTCAGAAAATGCGCCTGATTTTCAACCTTGGGATTTGTTCCCAGACCCAGAATTGAAGAAATTTTCTTGAAAAATTCCAAGCAAATTTCAATTCCGGCGAAGAGGGATTCCGGTTAATGGAGATATTACTGCATAGTCTTATGATACTGTAATTGAAGGTGGGAATGGCAGGATGCCCATACCTTTAATGTGTTGATTGAATAAGGAAGTGAAATCTTGGTTTGGGAAGAGTTTTCTTTCTATGAGGAAAAGGATGTGTAGTTTTATAGATTAAAGGAGAAAGTATAGGCTATTTTAGCCTGTAGAAAGGCGGGTAGTCTCTGATTACCTCAGGGAGTTGCAACCCTGGCTTACCAGCTTTTCCTGCCCTCTGAGTTGGTGTTAGGAAGGGCATCCAGCTGTAAACTTTGTTTCAACATGCTTGATGACAATTGGATTACCAGAGCTGTCCCCATCCTCTGGTCTCTGCTGTATTTTTTAGGTTGACTCTCAGGGTTTGCGTTGGTGAAACTCCCTTTCCAGTTTTACCCAACAGCTGCCATCAGATAATCACAGCTAACTCTCACAACCATGGAAAATGGCCGTAAAACTTTGATGATGGTGATGATTATTACACACTTTGTTCATTGCAAATGTGCATCATTAAAACTTAACTGTGTACAGTATTATTAAAATCAGTACAGTAGGTTCGTTAATACAGTATTTAGCTAGAAAAGAAACACAACTATCTAAATATATTTCGCTCTATCTTTTTATTTACTATACAATACTAATAAAAGATCTCCTCCTTGTACCATATGTCTCTCTCCTCACTCATTTTAGTCTTTTTTGCTGGGGTGGCTCTTGGGGTGTCAGCTGAATCATTAAGTTTTTGTTAGAATAGCCCCAGGGAGAAAGTGTACTAAGTCACTTAATGTTTGTGGTGTATATAATTAGCAACAAAGACTCAGGAATACATGTGTACGGGATACTTGGTGTCATTGGGAAGGTATAGTAACGTGTGTTTTACTTTCTGCTGCAGTAATGGAAAGGCAGAAAAGCCATCCAGTAAGCTTATATCTTTTTGTTTACAGTTTGATGATAAAGTTACCTTCTTCAAGACTCTTAGAGTATGAACAAACTAAACAACCATTAAAATTAACGATGAATACAAATACTAAAAAAAATTTCATGGTAGATTAGATTTTTGTCACTTATTACAAACCAACGTAAGATTTTCTTTTTCTTCCAGGACTTTGAGAAGAATCTTCAGGCTAGCAATATAACAACAATTCCAGTTTTAGGATCCCAGAACTACAATAGATGTTTCAATCCCATGTATCAGGCGATGGGACCTGACAGAAACTTTTATCAGGGTAGGAACTTCTATCCTCAAGTTCGTATGCGAGGTGGCCGTGGTTTTGTTAGAGGACGAGGTAGAGGGGGGCGTGGGAGAGGTTATAATGACCGGCCTTCAATGCCCTTCACCTCTACCAGGCCTCCAACTCCCCAACTTGTACTCCCACAAGACAGATATGTGGACAAAGCACCTCCTGAACCAAATAAAACCAAAGAAAAAATGAGTGCAAGGTGGCGTCGTATGCAAGGATCAGACAGTGAGAGTGATAGTGAAGATAGTGAGTCTGATAGTAGTGACAGCAGCAGTGACACCACTGGCAGCAGCAGTGGCAGTAGCTCTGGTAGCTCTAGTGGCTCAGATTCTGAAAGTGAAAATAGCTCAGTAGAAAAGAGGAAAGTTGCCAAAGACCCCAAAAGGGATGCCCCACTTACTGATAAGAAACCAGTTCCACCAGTTATCAGTGGTTCTCGGCAGAGACAGCATTCTGGTAAAGGTTTAATGCCAAAATCCCCACCTGTGCAAAGTGCTGCCCCTCATAATCCTCCACCTACTCATAAAGTTCCTCCTCCAACAAGGAGAGGATCAGTCAGCCCGCCTCCAAAGAAGTATGTCAACACTCAAGCATCACCACGGCAACCAGTAAGGAGAGAATCGACAAGTCCTCCTAGTAACAGATCATGGGTGTCTCCTGTCTCAAAGGGACGCAGCCCAATTCGCCGACAAGGGTCCAGGAGCCCTCCACCCCGAACAGGCTTGAGGAGCCCGGGCCCTCAAGGTGGTTCAAGGGGTCTTTCTGCTCGCTCAAGATCAAGAACTCCACCTCCCAGAAGAAGATCCAGAAGCCCACGTCCTTGGCCAAAATCAAGAAGTCCTCAGCGAACTTCTCAAAGTCCAATGTTACGTTCTAGGAGTCCTTTTCCAAGAAGAAGTTCAAGGAGTCCAATCCCCAGAAGAAGTTCTAGAAGTCCCTACCCAAGAAGGAGCTCCAGGAGTCCACTTGGTAGAAGAAGTAGTAGGAGTCCATTGCCAAGAAGAAATTCTAGGAGTCCACTATTTAGACGTAGCTCAAGGAGTCCCCTTCCCAGAAGAAGTTCTAGAAGTCCTCCTCTGAGGAGAAACTCTAGAAGCCCATTCCCGAGAAGAAGTTCTAGGAGTCCAGTCCCAAGAAGAAGTTCTAGAAGTCCAAGCTCAAGATTGCCTTTGAGAGGCTCTTCCCCTCACATAATATCAAGAAGTCCAATTAGAGGAAGGTTAAAAAGTCCTCTTGCAGGAAGAGGCAAAAGTCCACAACAGAGACTGAGAAGTAAGAGTCCAGGTTTAAGAGGAAGGTCAAGAAGTCCATTAACTCGAAGAAGCCCATTGCTGAGACGAAGTTCAAGGAGTCCACTTCCTCATAGAGGTTCAAGAAGTCCGGCACCTCGCAGAGTTACAAGGAGTCCGCTCCCTCATAGGGGAACAAGAAGTCCTGCACTTCGTCGTGCCACACGGAGTCCACTATCTCGCAGAGGCTCAAGAGGCTCACCACCACCACACAGGACTTCTAGAAGTCCACCTCCTAGGAGAATATCAAGAAGTCCTCTGTCTCGAAAACATTCAAGAACTCCACCACTTCGGAATATATCAAGAAGTCCTTTACCACGCAAACTTTCTAGAAGCCCTCCACCTCGGAAACATTCCAGGAGTCCCCCGCCTCGGAAACTTACCAGGAGTCCCCCCCCTCGGAAACTTACTAGGAGTCCCCCCCCTCGGAAACTTAGCAGGAGTCCCCCACCTCGGAAACTTACCAGGAGTCCCCCACCTCGGAAACTTACTGGTACTCGGAGTCCTCCACCACGGAGAGTTTCAAGAAGCCCCCTCCCACGGAAACTTTCCAGAAGCCCTCCACCCCGACATATTTCAAAGAGTCCGCTTCGACAAAGACTCTCAAGAAGTCCACCCCCTCGCCGACTTTCACACAGTCCACTTCATCGAAGACTTTCAAGAAGTCCTCCTCCAAGACACTTTTCTAGAAGTCCTCAACCAAGACGGCTATCAAGAAGCCCTCTACCACGTCCATTTTCAAGAAGCTCAGCCTCTCGTCGACCTATAAGAAATTCCCCTTTGAGACGGTTTTCAAGAAGTCCTCCACCACGAAGGTCTTCAAGAAGTCCACCACCACGCCGGATTTCAAGGAGTCCCTCTGGACGCATGCTCTCAAGGAGTCCAGGTCCTCGACGTATTTCAAAAAGTCCTCTTCCTCCTGGAAGATCAAGAAAATTATCACCTCATCGTGTTGCTAGGAGCCCATCGCCCAGAAGGATTCGTAGGATTTCTCCCTCCTCGCATAGATCTCATAGTCCTGGTCATAGACTACAGAGGTTTTCTAGAAGCCCTGCAAATGAAAGGAAGTTAAGCTCACACAGTCCACCATTTAACAGTTCACATAGTCCAAGATCTAGAAGAGGTCCAGCCTTATCTATTAGGTCCCATAGTCCTCTGGCCGATAGGTCTCCAAGTCCTGGACTGAGAAGAGATTGGGGTCATAGAGCAAAAAGATCACAAAGTCCTGGTTCATTTGGAAGAACTGGTAGTCCATATGGCAGGCATTCCAGAAGCTTATCTCCTCATAATAGGGTGGGAGGCATGGTCCCAGGAATGATAGACAGGTCCCCAGTAGACAATGGGTCTCCTAGAAGCTCATTCCATAGACAAGGATTTGGGAGACCTGCTGATGGCGTGGTTCATGGTGAAAGATTTTCTCCTCAAGGGAATTCGGTATTAGTAGGAGGAAGGCCTCATGACTTCCCACCTGGGTATGATCACTATCCTATAAACAGACCACCCCATATGCCAATGAATGGTCACCAGGGTCATCAACACTTCATTGGATTTAATGAACCTGGCCCAAGAGCTCCTGATGAACCTGCCTGGCCACATGTAGGAAGGCGGGAAGGAAGGGATCAGTTTTCACCTCATCGATTATTGCCTGAGGGCCCATGGCAAGGTCATTACCAGCAAAGGGATCGTCCAGGTCCTCCTGTTTTCCCACACCCGGACCATGTTTTTCCACCAAACAGAGGGCAGCCTTTTAATGTCCCTATTCACAACCGCCAAGGTCCAGGGATGTTGATGCCTCATGGCCGAGGACAGGGTTTCCATGGACCTAGACATGGATCACCACAGGCACGCCGAGGGAGATCACTTCCAAGACACGAGCCTCCTGGACGATTTGATCATGATTTACCACCTCCAGGACCTAATGAAAGAAGGAGGCAATTATCACCGAACAGGCAATTGGCTCGTATTAGAGAGAGATCACGCTCAAATTCTCCTTTCTCAAGTAGACCACAAACATTTCCACAGGGTGGAAGAGGAGGACCCATGTCACCTCGAGGTCGAATTCCCACTGTGCCATCAAACAGGCGAGGTCCAAGAACTCCTCCTATGCCTGCTGGCAGAAAAGTTTCACCACGACCAGGCCCCAGGGATGCACAGAAGCCATTGCGAGGGCCACATGCTTCTTACCAGGAGAATAAGGCACCATTGCAAAGCCGAAGGCAAGGTTCTCCACACATACCAACACATGAAAGACCACCTTCACTTCGTGGTGGCCATAATCAAGCTTCTCAAAGACGCCCTCTACATGGAAACAGTCCCCCTCCAGCAGGGCTCAGGGTTCAAGATGGTGGTCCCCACAAACAACGGTTACAGCTACCAAAAACTCATTCTCCTTTCCAGGGTGATAGAAGACGAAATGAAAAACAACCTGAGGATGTTAGAGACAGAAATAGGGAAGATTCAAGTGGACAAGCTCAGCATGAGAAAAAGGATAAAAAAGTAGAATCTCCTCGGAGAATGGAGAATAGACAGAAATCTCCATTCCGTAATAGGTCTCCGAGTCGACAGCACAATGCAAGAGTAGGTTTTGCTTCAGTTAGAGGACGAGGCAATAGAGGGAGTATACTTCAGAGTCCCTCTAGCCGAAATCGAAGGCAAGTAGGATCTAGACCTGAAACTTCATCTAATCAGCAACGGTTAAGAAGTCCAGGAAGTCGTGAGAAACATGCTAATGCTGCCAACTGGGACAAGAGGAACCCCAAAAGTGACTCTCAAGGGGAAAAACTGGATTCAAAATCTTTTAATGAGCAGTTACCAGAAAGACAAGGTCGTACTGGAAGCCCATGGTTGGAGCCAGTCACACCAGAAAAGCAAGGGCAAGGTGTATGTGATCGTTCTTTGTCTCCAGCAGGCAGTGTAAATGAAAATCAAGCTAAAAAGGTGAAGCGAGAAACAAAAACAACAGAGCATGTTGCTGTAAGTAGAGGAAAAGAACAAGTAGAAAAGAAGGTTAAGGAAAAAGTAACTCCAGAAGCGGTGACACAACAATCAGCTAAAGTGGAAAACAAATCAGTTCAAGTACAAGACAAACTGGAAGCACGCAGAAAGAAGTTTGAATCTAATAATCCAATCTCCGCTCAAGAGTCTCGTAAAGTTTTGCTGAAAGCACCGGAACCAACAAAAGAAGTAGAGGAGGACAAGAAGAAGAAAGATGAGAAGATAAAGGAAGATGATGACAAGAAAAAGAAGAAAAAAAAGAAAAAAGCAAAAGATGATGACGATGATGACGATGCATCAGAAAAGAGCAAGTCTAGCAAGAAAAAGAAAAAGAAGAAGAAGAAGGAAGCCAAAAAGAAAAAGAAGAAGCACAAAAAGGCAGATAGTGACAGTGAAGAGGAAGAAAAACAGCCAGCTGTAAGCAAAGTTACTAGAGAAAGTGAGTACTCTATCTATCCACGATATTTTATTGAATTTAAGAAATAGATGTACAATACAGCAGTAAAGTTGATGTAAAATTAGAATTTTACTTTAGAAGCGAATAAGAGAAATTTATTTTCTGATAATCTTAAGAAATTTATTGATCATTGACATTAAAAACATTCACAGTTCGGAATTATTATTTATGGTTTTGTTCTATTGAATAATCAAATAATGTTCATCATCATTATTTGAGTCTTTGAATTAGGGCATTGACACTAAAGTTCCCATTTTGTGTGAATGGATTGTAAGCTAAAAGCCCAAGTGCATAAGATTGTATTCGATGAAAATAGAAATGACTGAAATTAAAAAGGATTACTTCATTGTTTAGTGTTATTTTAATGTCTTGATGAATCAATTGAGACAGTAACTTCCTTCCATCAAGTTAATTATGCTTTGATTATTTCAGGCAAAAAGGACAACATAGACTCAACAGATTTGAGACATATGTTAAAGAGGAAAGTGGATCCACCAAGAGGAGGGGGAGGAGAAAGGAGTGGAAGCAAAGTGGACATCGACGAAAGAGAAGAGAAGCGTAGGAGGAAGGATAAAGAAGAACCATCGAAGACTGTAATTGGTGGCAAGAGCAGACAAGCAGAGAGCAGAAGAAAGAAACAGCATGGTAGGTTTACTCCATCAGTTTAGTTGCATTTTACTGCTTGGATGGTGGGTCACAACTCCTCATGGTGGTGGGTCACAACTTCATGGTGGTAGCTTACTCTTGTAGATCCCTAGAATAACTTGCTCGTTAAAGGGAGTCACTTGGTTATGGGCTTAACTCTAAAATATTTTTCTTCAATTTTATCTGTATTATGTTACAAATGATAGGTTAAATGATCCATAAAAGTGATTCATGCATCTCAAAATTTAGCCTAAAAAACCCTGAATTTGATCAGACCTAGAGTGAGTAGAGTAATGGATAAAGGAGACTTCTCAGTGTTTTGTCATTGTTATGTAGCATTGCTCTTCTCTATATTTTACAGAAGGGAAGCCTCTCCTGGTGACTGTTGGCTCTGGTGAAGATCGGCAAGTCACTTCAGGCAATGTTCCGGAAAACCAGAGTAAGTTTACACTTAGCCCATTAAAGATTAGAACCCCCCAAAAAAGGTAAAGACTCGATTGTCCACGTACAGTGGGGACTAACCTGAAAAATTATTTTTTTTAATGATAATTAGTTATGCAGTGTTCAGCCTATAAACTAACTGCAGTGCGTGAAATTTTTGTTGAGCACATTACAGTACCTCAATATAGAATTGTCATCATTGTCTTATAGCCATTTATCACTCTTGCAAGGACTGGCCATAGTGATTTATCAAGTCATTTCTGCATCATCAAACCATCTTCTTTGCTCAGTGATGCACGGAGAACCCTTTACAGTTTTTCAGTACAGTACTTGGGGTTGAATAAGTCGCCTCGTAATGATATGCTAAAGCTCTCGGCATGTTTCCAAAAAACATTCTTTATTTTTTTAAATCCCAATGCTGAAGCCTCCTCACCACCATATAACATGCATGTTAAACGTTACCAATAAAGAGCAGTTTCATCAGCATTTCACTGTTCTGCCACTGTCATAAAGTATGCAGATAGTAGAGTCTTGAAAATAAGTTGATTTGACTATACAAATACTGTAGTGTATACAATGTGTGAGAATAGGAAGTAAATGTTAAATGGTTCCTTACTGTTTGGAAATGATTATGAAGTTTTCAATTCTAATTCAAGTTCTAGGATGTGTTTTAATTTTATAAATTTATTCTTGTAGGTGATGAAGGAAAGGCTTCCCAACGCTTGTCTGTTCACCTTCGCCTTGGGCCCGCCAAAAATTCCTGGGATGACAAGTCTGGTAACTCTCATGGCAGTAGTGGGGGTGGTGGTGGTGGCAGTAGACACAAGAGACGTGAAAAATCCAAGGGTCGACATGGTGGAGGAGCTGGCAACAGGGTGAAGCTGAGGCGATGATCATTTCAGTCTGCCTGGGATGCAGGTAACGCACACATCTCGTTGCTCCTGCTGCTGCACTGGCTCAACCTGAGGTGTGGAAAGGTCTGGGGTGTTAGACTCATACCAGGCTTACTGTGATGACTACAAACAATTTTAGGATGATTTACTGGCAGGGTCATAGTTGAATAGCTCTTATATCTTCCATGGGTGGAGGATATATTTCAGTGAGAACATTAATATACACAAAATAATGTTACAGTGTATTGTATATATTGTTTTACAGAGATATAGTACAGCATAATGTTTTATTTTTATTTATTTAATATCTTGATATAGTATAAACATCTGTGATATTTAGCTGTGATAGTATGATAGTTTAGTACATCCTGAAGGGGATACAAAATTTTATATAGCATGATGGGTCCGTAAAGAGTTAAGGGCTACCACAGTTTTGGGTATTTATGCTCTGTTTATACAGAGAATATAATCATAGGTATGGTATCAGCTCTCAGATATACTGTAGTCTTCTACTCTTTTTTTTCGACAAGAGATTTGATTAATGGTTGTAGTCTACTGTTGCAATTTATGAATCTGTGTTTAAATTTATATTTTTTCATTGCAGGCATTCCCTAATATTTCATTTTCAGAGAAGTCTTAGTATTTCTAAAGTCATCATGAAATATATGCAGATTTATCCAGACATTCACCTCTAAAGATGCCGTTGTGATGGAATGGATTTCATAGAGTGTGGAGGCAACTTTACATCATGATAAATTGATTTGCTAAGAATTTGAAAACCAGTTTACGTTGGTGTTTAAGAAATGAAAAAGGGAAGTGCATTTAGTGTGTCAGTGAGAAGAGTCGAGAAAAAAGTGGAAGAGGCATGAAAATGTTAAAAAATTATTCATGTGACTCTACCTGTATAACCACAGTGCTTTGAGAGAAAAGGCACAGAATTGTGTGAAGAATTCACCACCAGCATGATTTGTGATGGCTAATTATTCATTGAAAATTTATGCCACATTATTGTGTAAAGTACACATACACAGTGTGGTTTGATTTTGGGTACCTTGAGAAAAGTGCTAAGTTCTCGCCATTATTGTACCAATATTTAAGCTCGCAAGCAATGATTATATGTAAAAATATATAAAAAGGTGAATAAATATTAGAGAGCAAGTTGAAAAGCATTAATGAAAAAGTAGTGGGAATAGAATGAAAAACATATTAAAAGGAAAATATTACTTTGTAATCAAGTGGTTGCAGTAATTTCATGTCAGTTAATATTACATACAACAACTGAATATCTTATGTGATACATCAAAGTGTTGCATATTTTAAATTACTTATGAAGTATTATTAGTTTTGTTATTATAATAAGTTGCACGTGATAATATACTGGTAGTTGGTGTCAATGCAAAAAGTCGGTAAAATCCACCGAGTCAGAAGACACCTGTTTTACTTTGCACAAGAGTTGCTACGCTCATAAATGTTTGTACATCTACTAATGTCATACATTTTTTATTGTTATTATTGATATTTAATATTTTTTATAATTATTTGGGAAATGTTATGAGGATATGTACATATTTTTCATTTAATGGTATTTTTTAATATTTGCAAATTTCACCTGAAATAGGGTTCACATGTTTACTAATTTATTTTATCCTACAGTTGCAATATATTTTTTATACAAACACTAACACTCACAAAGGGTGCATTAATTTATTGGAAATGCTTATTAGAGTGTATAAAATTTAACACTGCACTACCTCTCAATAATCAAACTAGAAAATTGGCCGGTAACACTGGGCAATTTTTTCCCCAAAAGTAAACTCATAAAACTTGTACATAGTAACACTATAAAATATTTCAGGAACTTTAATCTAAACTTAAAAAAGAAAAAATACAAGCAGTATATTCATAAGTATGAATCAATAATACTTGTGGCATGGTACTGTACAGTACTGTACTTATCTGAGTAACAAAAGTGTAGGCCTGATGATCAATTTTAGGAAATGTGATTACTATACAGCACACTGTATACTAAGCTTTCAGTATAGGCAGAAGCCGTTTAATTAGGTATCCAATTACAGCTGAGTGGAATAGAGTTGCCATAGCTGCAGACCAATGACCTATAAGGTATGAGTTCAGTGCTGTGTCCACTAGACTATCACACCCCCTTGATACTGGTACAGTACTGTAGTTTTTAACCCCAGTCCTTTGTGCAGAATTTACTGTTTACCCATTTACAAGTATCATGATTTCTCCCAGGTCTTTGTTTTTCCAGGACCTTGGTTTGGACAAATTAGTTGACAAATACAGTAAACACATCTAAAGTGCTCTTTCCCTTTCCTGGAAAGATTGTAGATACATGTATAATTCTCTTCTGTATACTGTACTTTTGAATTTTAGGAAATACAGTAAACCTCTACCTTCGCGGGGGTTAGGTTCCTCAAAAACACTGTGAATGTCAACTCCGCATATGTTAAACTTAAGACAGGGAAAAATGGGGTTAGGGGATCCACACACTTGAAGAGATACTTTTATGAGTAATATTTGTACATGTTAAATAAATCAAATATGTGTAAAAACATAGTACAACAGTACTGTAATATACTGTACAGTGGGCAGTGCCCAAGGATCAAATACAGTTTATAGTTCTTGACAATGCCTTGATTCAGCTTCCTCATCTTGCTTGCTAGCTTCCACGTGGGCTTGATTTGGAATTTATTCCTCTGTCTTTGTCTGTTCCTTTGTTACTTACCTAAAGTAACGGTCAATAGGTACCCATGTGGGTATGCGACAGTACCAAGGGTAATTTGCTCCTCTTCTAAGTAAAGAAGCCTTCTATTCGTATATTCGCGTTGCTCGTGGCAAGGATCGTCACAACAATGGCGGATTGTTCCAAGAGTGACTCATTATCAGGAGCGACAGGAAACTCTTAAAAAAAAATTATTTTATTTAGTTCATGTGTTAACTGCAAAATAGGTACAAAATATAACTACAATATTAATAAATTGGGAAATTAAATCATTAAGCTGGTGTGAGATGATTTAGTCTAAAATTTCTCAAATATGTTCGTATAATAATACGGTATCCTTGTGAATGGACCCTTCAACTGGGCATAAAAATGCACTGGCAAAATGTAGTTTTTTAATGATTTTCACCACTTAGCAACTTATTGCTGTTTGGGTGGCACTTTTTTCCATTACAGAACTCTTTACATAATAATTATAATGAATAAGTACAAAGTCTGATGATTCTAGCGATTTTTCTCAATTGGTAAGATAAAACACAAGAAATGGAAACGGAATTGTAAACACACCTTGAGAAATAAGAGCGCCAAATCATCTGCCACACAACTCATGAACGGAAAGATTAGCATTATCAAGGAAGTTAATAAGGATATCAAACCAATGTTAAAATACATTTTGTCTTACTATAAGTTTCTATCTTATTACGCGTTTTTCATCTCAAATCGTACAATTTGGTTTAGAACTGTCGAAAGCTGTCCTCACCAATTATAATGATTTGGGTTTAAGCTACCTAATATTGGAAGGTGACTTGAAGATGGGTCATGGGTCAAAGTAATATAAATAAAATAATAACCCAACATCACCTGAAGGTTCCCAGGGGATATTAAAGGGATTGAAATCACAGTCAGGAAATTTTTGGTCCGTGACCCAAATGTCCTGCGAATGTTGAGGGTTTACTGTATGTAATTGTAACCATTAGCTCCCAAAAAAGGTAAAAAAGAAGGGTTCGAGTATCAGCAGAATGTAAAAACGAGTACTGTACGTACGTGAATATTATAAGGAGGGTTAAAAGAATGTTGACAATGCAAAAGACAAAGAGATGAAAGATAGGTAGAAAGGTTGTCATATGGTATACAAGGGATCAAGAAGTTTTTTTGGGATGAATGGATTGAAATGACAGTACGAATGAAAGAGGGAATAATATGGTGGAAAAAAGATGTAGGGGTGATAGGAAAAACATGACGAGTAAATGTTGAATGTTAAGAGGTACTGAGAGATAGACTCACCCAGATTTGGACAGGCTTAATAATAGTGATGCATTGGAGTGGATGGAGCACTAGAGTTGTTCAGGTTGGAAGGTAAAAAAGTGATGTAATGTGAATGGAGGAGGATGTACAATATAGGTTGTTCATGGTTTTAGGAATGGTAGAAAAATGTATAGTTTTATTTAAGGGGAGTGGCGATAAGATTGAAGACTTTAAATTACCTGTATAAAGGAATGTGTTTTAAGTGAACAGTAATAAGCCCTTGATTGTGGAAATGGTACATTTTTTGAAACTCATGTGTAGCTGTATCAAATTCATGTCAGGTAGCATACTATGATTGGTTGGTTTCAAATAATTTGCATAAATTATTCTGGTTTTCAATCAATTATATTTTCTATTTTCACAATTTATGCACAGTATTTTTATATAGAATTCTGGTGGGATTGGTTACAGTTGTATGTTAGAGAATTAAATTTTTTAGTATGTCAGTATGTACCCCCAAGAATTTGCCACATACTAATCGGAAATTATTTAAAACACTACTACTACTGTACTGTGTTTTTATATCTTACATGGTGAAAAATTATTGGAGAATTATATAATTAATACATACTATATTCATTTACTGTACTAAATGGTACCGGTATTTACCCTCAGTGCATCCCCAAGTCTTAGTTAGATTGAGGATAATTTCCTCCCAGATCCTTGTTCACCTCTGGGGTAAGCTAGGACTTACAGACTGGCTTATGATGCCAAAGGTTTTTATCCACTTTTAATTATTTTATTATTAGTTACATATAACTGTATTTAAATTACTTTAAAATGCAATCACTATTATTTTAACGAATGGGTCACTAGTGACTACTTATAATGATTTTCTTATTTTACTATTACTGGTACGTACAACATAATTGTACTGTATTATTAACAATGTTTTCGCTTTTTGGTCACAGTTTGGTTACCAAATTTGGTCCAGTTCCAACCAATGCAAAACCTTTAGTAACAAGTTTTTACTTTAATTTATTATCATAACTCATTCTATATAGAGTGAAGGTCACCTATGACAAATTTTTTGTATAAAAGAATTTTTGAAAAGAGAGAGCTCATAAATCTTAGGTTTACTGCACCTGGGAAGGGGTGTAATAGTCATTATAAATAGAAATGATACAATGTGCTGTGAAAGACAAAAGTCGTGTCGTGAAATTTCGTGAAAACATATGCCGAAGGGGTAAACTTTTGGTGCTCAGCCTTGTCGTAGAGGGCTCTCATAATATTTCATGAATTATGTTTAATCTTCGGACAAAACCGCGACACAACTTTTGTCTTATGTGTTAAAGTTTGAGTAGATGTGAAATTGGGACTACAAGGTGGTGTACTGTATGTCATAAGGAGAAGGAACTCAAGTTTAACTGAAAGGAAAATGGAGTGCAAATGGGAGATGCCTGATATTGGTAGCAGATGACATTGTTCTTTTGAGTGATTGGGAATTGAGGTTACAAATATTAGTGGGTGAATTGGGATGAGGCTTTGTGAATTTGTCAAGATTGTTATACTGTAGTTATATGGGTATACTACATTTTACTTTTCCCCTCTCAGAACAATGGAGAAACCAGTCAGTATTCATATACATTTCAGAGAATACTTTGTTGTAGCTACATAATTAACATTGCAGTGTCATGTCTGCTTCCCCCCATCTCTTGTAGTGTATCATTGCTACATCCAGACATTGATAGCATCATATGTTACCTTCACATGAACTTAAGACATAATATACTTAATATTGTGGCATTTTTCCGCAAATAATTTTGAATTTGAATTGTAAGTTTATTGCAATGTGTAATGACCTTTTACTTTTAGTTCAGCATCAATACTGTGCAGCATACAGTACTGAACTGGCAAGTGAAATGTGGTTTTCAAAGCCAATACCTGTATAGTGAATACTTGGTCTTACTAGTTGTATAAGCATTAAGCATTATTGTTGTTTTATTAAATAATGGTATTTTGTACATACCGTAGACATGTACACACACATACAATGTACTGTATTTTGAAACACCAGTCTGGAAACAGTGTATTTACCGGTACTCACATACAGACAGACAAGCACTTTCATAAACATTCAGTAGAACCTTTCTGGTTTTCCAGTCATCGGTTTACAAAATGGCCGAGTTCACTTCGATTTAATTTCAAATCGATCTGCATGAAGTTCACTTAAAAACAGAAATACCCTGGACTGTAGTTTACATTTTTCAAAGGTGAAAATAATTAAGTAGCAGTTAAATTATTGAACTATTTTTGCTTATGTGCACTCACCAAAAACTTCTCGAATGCTGTAAGCTCTATGCAATCTGAAAAATGAACAAAGACTCTGAAACCATTCCAAGATGACAAGCCTCATTCTGCTCATTCTCACATCCATCGTGCCCAGGTGTTGGAGAAGTTTTTGATGAGAGTACATACTGTAAATTTAGAATACAGTACTGCCCTTTTACAATCACTTTGCATTATGCAATCTCCCCCCCCCCCCATTAAAAAAAAATATATATACAGTATATATATTTACAGTATATATTACAATACAGTTGTAATGTATATTTCGTAACAACAAAACATTACGAATTATGGGTGATTTCAATATAGAGGAGTAAAAACTGGTTTTTTTTTTTACTATAGTCCAATTACTGAAAAGTAATCCAACCTAATCACATGTTTGGTTTTAAAAAATGGGTTGCCTTTGGGATTCTAATAAGTTCTATGTATCCCTTATATTTAAAAATGGCCAATATTTTCCCTAATTTTATCTGATTTCTTACCTTCTTACCAATAACATGTGCAAATTTTGCCTCTGGAATGATTCTTGCTTGCTCTACTGCAGTATAAAAATATTTAGCTAATTTCTGTTTCTTAACTGAAATTATTGTACAGTATCCACTTGCACACTGGACTTGAGGAGTTGTTACAGATGATAAGAAAGTTTGTTGCTTGGAGGTAGACGGACAGTTCTTGGGGGATTTTGAAGAGGTTTATTTTAACTTTCTCATCAAAAGTAATAGCATGTCTTTTCTCAATACATGTAAAGTGCTATACCACCAGATGTAGCAGCATCTTTTGTACTTGCCTTTCACTTTTTGCTCAGTACTGTAGGGTATGATGAAATATTTAGTCACAACACAAAATATCTCATAAGTTACACTGTAAACTCAACCAACTGTGACCCCAGTACAAGTAAAACTGACAACAAAACAATTGGCACTACTGTATTATGCAGTACGGTACTGTATACTGTATGTATCATCGAACATGCATTAAGCATACGTTGACTGCTGTATTGTAGTTTAAACACGAGCCTATTAATCTAGTTTTTGTCTTATGTGGGCTCTTAGGGTCATTTGTACACTGTGTATATCTTAAGTGTTTTATATGTGATCATTTGTGTTTGTGGTCTCTTGGTCCAATAATAAAATTAGTGTGTGCCTGATATTCTAAGGGCAGAAAATTCAAATGGTCTGCCCCAAATTTTGGCAAACTAGAGGAACAGTACTGCTGAACTGTACATATACACATCACTTGTACCTGAATTTGATTATGACTTGCAGTGTACTTGTTTCTTTGGCCAGGTCTTTGTCTTCAACCAGGTTATATTATTTATGTTTCTGAAAATATTTTCATTCCTAATGTCTTGTAGTTGTTGTAGTATGGCTGTACTCTGACTTGTACTGTTGTATTACATCTGAGTGGAAATTCTAATGCAATTTGATTTCAGTAAAGTAAATACTAAATATACTGTAGTTAATGTAATGTTTTGTACAAATTATGGTCATTCTGTTCTTAAAGACTTATTATTTTCATTCTGTTGTAGATACGTACAGTATACTATATACAGTACAGCATTAACCAGTGAGTACAGTAGTTATCGCAATGCTTTATTTTTAAACAAAAATAATTATTTAGTGTGTTATGATTAATGTAAATTGCCAGTTTGTACTTACCACGTTTCTTTCTCTTGTGTTCATCAGTGGTTGTTTGTGTGTGAATATTTTATTGGGTGTTCATTTTCCCTTTGAATATTCATGAAAAATATTTCTTTGTTGTCAGTGGACACCCATACTCTTTGCAAATATGCTTTGTGTTGTTACTTTTTTGGGTAAAGCAACTACTCTCCAGATTACCTACTACAGTACTGTACAAACTTCCAGCCATGTACAGATTTTGCTGGTGTCAAAAATTCCAAAAAGGATTAACTGGAATCAGTTATGAAAATACTTTTTTCAAACTATGAGAACAACTACAGTCACAAATACTTTTTGGGGGTAGTGGCTATTTCATTTTAAGATTTCACTGTACAGTATAGCTTTACAGTTACAGAACTACTTGGTACTTTTTTAACTAAGTACAGTATACAGTATGTATATAAATTTAAAGCTTAGAGGAGAAGTGTCAAAACTCATGTGTGCATTACTGTACAGTCAACCCTCACTTTACGCGGTTAATTCAACCCACAGGGTACCGCGGAAAGTGAGAAACGCGTAAAGTGAACAACATAACATATGGGATTAATTGAAATAGAGACCGGGCCGACCCCCAAACTCCACTTTTTGACGACACACAACTATGTTGTAGTAAAAATATTATCTTAACTTTATGATGGTATGCACACACAATTAATAATTAAGAGAAATATCAATAATATTAGGTTTTTTAACACTTACATTAGTAGAAAAGATGGCTGGGCATACGGGGATGGGCGGTTGGTTCCGAGGCAGAGGGCAGATTGTTGGCCCTCACCTGTATCACTTGTATCACTATCCACCACAGAGGCTTGCAGGGCCTCTTTGTTAAACCCCTCAAAGTCCATATAAGTCCATATCCTCACTATAATTGTCACTATCACTGACTTGGGCCGGCTGTGGTGGGTGGCGGGTGAAGAACTCGGTAATGTTTTGATGACTGGGGGACCTTGTGCGCACCATGCTTGCGCCGCTTACACAACATGGCAGGAGGTTTGGATCCAAAAATGGCGCGGCTCGCCAGCCGCTCTCCGCGTAAAGGGGTACACGCACCTCGGAATGTGAACATTCCTGTTTCGGCAGGGTACCGCGTAAACGCGGAATGTGGGACCGCATAAAGCGAGGGTTGACTGTACATGATATCTTTTGTTGTTAAAAAGGATAGTAATCTTTGATGAGCCCTTGGGAAGATTTTAAGAATTTAAGCTTCATAAGTTTTATTGTTTGATACAGTACTGTATTGGACTTTACACTATAGTCATTTTAGATACAGTATTTTGGATTACTCCACGTTCTCTTTCGTTATACATAACTTCCTTTTTTCTTTCATTCATCTTTTGTTTTTGTATTCATTGTCCTCTCATTCTGTCGTTCTCTTTAGGCCAAGGCATCTCCTTTCTTGATGTAATTACTCATCCTTAAATGTTTATCCTTATTTTTTTTTTAATTATCCCAATTGTGTTGCTTTCAGGAAAAAATTATATACCATTATCATTAAGGAGGAAAGTATTATATACCATTATAGTATCATTAAGAGGGAAAACATTATATACAATTATCATTAAGATGAAATGAAAGTGATATTTGTATATTAGCTACACTCCCTTGTTATTTAAGTTGGGCAACACCGATATTCCAAGGTTAACTAGCTTCATACACCCTCATCACAACAGATAATTTTCCCTCACAGAATCATGTGTATAATTAAAAACAAAGCTCAGATTCCTTTTCATTGATATTTTATGTCTTCCTATACTGTACTGACTTGAGTAAACATTAATTTTTAACCTTGACAAGTTGAACGAGAGAGCAAACTAGGAATTCCACGTTACCTAACACTTTACTTCTTAATTCATCGTGCTGACTCACTCAATTTATTAAAAGACTTCAGTTTCTTTTCTTGTATACCTTCATAGGTAGTTCTTTGCCATTGTTTCTTTTTTGTTCAACTCGGTCATTTGATTTGTGTTACATTGCAGTTATCAAAAACCTGATAAGCTAAGAGAATGACAGTTATAGGGAGTGAAGTAAATGAC